TCAGCGCAGTGCCGCTAACTCCAGTACAAGCGGGCTTTTTGTTGTGACAAGTCTGCGTGCGAGGCTGGACAGTGAGGCGTGCGGTCGCCGGTGGTATCACGGAATAAAGGCAGCATGCAAGCGGTGTGCTTCTCCAGCAAACAATCTTTCGCCGATGCTGTCGTCATAGCCATGCCAACAGTCAAAGTTGCCCGTCCCAGTCGTCATCTCATGAATTTCCGCTAATGCGCAGCCGTTCATTGCAGAGAAGGGTAATTTGCAACACCGTTACGCCACCGAAACGTATTCAAGCTTCTTCCCTGGGCGGGCTGTCGGCTTCTCCATTTCCTTGTCGGGAGTCATGGGAGCACCCGTGGCAGTCGAACCGCCTCAATAAATGTCCGACAGCAGTCTCTGAAAGGTGAATGCGACCCCGTGACATGGAGCTGCGTCCGAAGGGGGCACCAAGTAACTATGGAAATGTGCCTCGAGATATATGTCGAAGGGCTGTAACAGGAGGTCTTCGTTCTTTGCGAATTATATAACAGGGGTTCCACGAGGCTTTCCCTAGGAACCCTTCATCGACAAACACAAAGACTTGTGATACATCTCTTCTCCTCTGCCGCTGTTGATATCAGACAGATCAGAGCCTAGTGATGTCTGTCTTAGAGTGCATTTGCAGCGAGATTCGTTGATTGCAACCTCTCATGGGACTGAAAGTACCGAGCGCAGTCTCTGATGGACAAGGGCAAGGCGGTTGAGCTGGTAAAGCAATGTCGGAGTTCGCTCCGTCCAAAGCGCCTTATGCCCCCTCAAGTCTCCGACACCAATGCTGGGCAGGATACCTCCTGGCTAGGCCCCTCGAGATGAAATCACTTCGTCGGTGGAGGTTTCCGGTATATAGGCGACTCGCATAATGTTCAAGAAACGCTGCTTGCTATATCAATGACTGGAGGTTTTTGGTTTCTCCGTTGACTGTGCAGGTAACACAAAACGTGAGCCCATACGACCTCGCACAGCGAGGCGTCAGCGTTCGTTGTCTTATGGCATCCAACTTCGCCTCGTATCTGAGAGATTCCCTCAGGAGGACGCGGCCGCCTAGCGATATAGGTTGCGAATCAGTCACCGCCTTTTGCAGCCTGCGGAAGTGAGTAGAGTTCTTGATCTGCGGGCTCTAACGACTATCAGTGGACCGGTGTGGTTAACGACGATGGTCATACGTCCAGCCGGCTGGTGTGCAATGGGTTCCAAGTCTCATCAGCAGAAAGCTGTTAGTCTTTAACCCCCACAGTATCAGCAAGTTTGAGGTCAAATTTCCTCATTTCGTTAGAGGATAGAGTAGACAGCCGCTCGCCCCTGAGTCCTCGTCCAGGGAATGGTGTGTGATCTGTTGTGAGGTGTGCTGACTGTATCCGTACAACAGCTTTCCTCTCGAGCTGCCATGATCGCCAAGTAAGGTTCTGGGGCGCAGGTGCAAAGCTGTCGAATCCTTACCCTCGATGAGATTATCAGGCATGGCTTCAGCTTCTCTGCACCAGCGTGACTGACGGATTTTCCGGCTTACCCTGTTGCCTAGGTGCTAAGTAGCCGCCATAGGCAGACGCTGCACAATAACAGCCATCGAAGCTATTCGTAGCGGACACCGCAGTATCGGGGATGGGGTGATTTTGACTCGGAGGTTGCATTGCTAGGCTGTTCCTTGTAGCATAAGCCTGCCGACTTGCTATCAACGTCCGTGTGCTTAGCTGCAGGAAGCCGTGCAGCAGAGCAATGCGGCGGTATTATGAACTTTGCATCAAGCACGCCAGATAGGTAGGGTCCTGGGCAAACGTCCGAGCACAAACCCGCCGTGAGGTTTCGAGATTGCATCCTTCATTATACAAAAACAGGACACAGTATCGTCACAGACAAGACGATAAGACTACAACCATCAGAAGCCTGTAGCAGAGATGTCCGCAAATGTATCCTTGTAGGGGCAACAGCGCGGCGCGATGCGCCGGGGAAGACGGAAGCTAGATTTCTGTTCATCTCGTCTCAAAACTGTGCGCAGAGAGAGCGGCTCGACCAAATGCGAAGCAGCCGTTGGGCGGTCAGGGAACTACAAGGCGTGGCCATGGAGGACGTGGCTGGCTTCCATGGAACGCGGAATGCGGGGAACAAATCTAGTTGGAGGATCGACAGGGTTCACCTTCAATAGTCGCATTGATGAACGAAGTCTGTCCTCCGCGACGCCTACCGCTGTTCCTGGCTTTCCCGAAACTAGCCGTGACTGCCTCGTACGCAGTCATTGTTCATCACCATGAGGAGACGATATCTGTGAAGACTAATGACTTGAGCGGGAGCCGTCACACTTAGGCGACGTGCATACCCGGCCAGCACCACCTTCGGGAGCAAGCCTTGGACCAGTATCGGTGATTGCGAGTTGGCTTCTTCTCCGATTCTGACTGGCACGGTCGCTTTTCCAAAGGGCCAAAAAGAGCAACCCGGGGAAATGTTGGAGGTTCGGAGATTGGCGCACCACCGACTGGAGACGAAGGTTTACCAGGGTTTGCTAGGGTGTTTGTGAGAAACAGGCGGCAATGTCGCAAGATTCAACACGTTGTAGATAAGACGCAAGCCTGGTCTTCACTTTCATCGGGCGGCGGCAGGCGTCGGCTTGGTGCGTCAGAACGAATTCGTTCCACGAAATACGACCGTCGTGCTGGCGGCCGGTCTATCGAAAATGACATCTGAACATTGACGATGAGAAGAACCGCCATGCCGATTATGGCTTAGGTCGTAATGGGCGGGGTGGATGGCCGTCAGAGTGAGATATACAAAGTACCCGTACGGATACGTACAATGAGCGAAGATATGTTGCACTGATATCATAGGAGCGCCAGTACTGGACGTACCTAGTGCTGTTTTGTTTCTCGCACTCTCGTTTTGAGGCCAGCCAGCATTGGTTGCCGCAGAAGGTTTCCTTTCAGCCCAAAACTACCCGAGGGATTGCCTGAGCCCTAGAGGGCTTACCACCCAGGGATATAACCAGCTTTGTTCCCTGCAATATCCGATAGCTTATTGGTAGATACTCTGAAAGTAGCAGTGCGATTTGATGGCGGGATACACAGCTGCGGCTGAGAGGCGAGGATTAACACCCATGATACGGATAGGTGAGTGTTGGAATGCGATTCCCTAGGCATTGCAGACCCGCCGGGTCCCCCTCGTTTTGGTCAGTTCTCAGGATCTTTCGGTCTGCGGTGCACAGGACTTGTCCTCCAAACCTTGTGTCAAGATGCCTTCGAACTTCAACAGCAACCCCGCAAGGACTCGTGTTTTTACGAGCTGGTTCCCTGGGCTGCCTACGAGCGATCACACCTTCGCATCTGGCCTGAGTTGGCCTGGGTTGGCCTGACTCCTGAGCACTTCGGAGCCTCGGTTGGCCGTTTAACATCATCGACCTTGGTCCAAGCTTGATCCCTTCTCCGATTGCGCACTTTAATCAGACCATTACTGTCGCACCGAGACCAAGGATCAATATTGGTCGTCCTGACCGGTCAAATTAGTAGACGTCGGCCGGTAGTTCCCTTGCGAGTTCCATGTGTGCAAGATGCTAGTCGAGACACGGTCGTTGGAACAGGCTTTGCGACTTGAGCTGCGACAGTGCTTTTCGGCTGGTACTGCGTCGATCATCCCGAGCTGCATTGGGGCTCTCACATCCAATGGCATCGAAATTTCGGAGGCGGCGCCATAGGCGGGAAGGCAAGCACCGCAACGGGAGAGGAGCGCGCTGTGTCTTTGAATAGCAGCCGTACTGCCTGCTAGCTGATCTAGATGGTGGTCGTCTTCGTCTCAGAAAGCGCCGGTAAACGTGACTTTCACCACAGTCGCAATGACATGTCTGTCGGTCAAGAAAGTCACAGTAGCTGGTAGTCAAGTGGAGTATCCGTAGACACCTTGCGGATGCATACGGATGCTACCGTGTATTCGGTACGCCCAGCTTCCAGAGCGCGCGGGCCGACTCAGTTCCCCGTCGAATAATGCTTTTGGGGTTCCCTTGCTGGACACAGATTCCATTTTAGATTCGGGGCCAAGAGCTCGAGAAGGTTGGACCGCCGTTCCAACCCCCGAGACTAAGATCAAGTGGTCGCTTAGCCAGAAGCTGAAACTAAGCCACCGTCATAATGAAGGGGGTTGCTCCATTCAGCCACGGCGAGATCCTGGACATGAGGTTGGGTCCATCGGTGGGCTGTCGGTGAGCATGGAATTAGAAGACGGTAGCCATTGACCCAGACAGTTGTCAGTTCGGTCGGGGGTGCTCCGCTTCTTCCTTTGCTTCCTTTTTCTTTCAGCTAGAAAGGAGATCCTGGCACTGGGCCAGGATAGCGACTCTTCTGGCGGTGACGACGCGCACCCTTTTTTTGCAAACGACCCACCGTGCTACGGATATTCTTCAACAAAATATTGGTCTCCGCTGCAGCAATTCGGCGGAAAAGCGGCGCTGTCAATGCTGTCGGCGACGGCTAGTAGCGTATGGCACCCGCGACAATGGATGGCACGACATGCCTGATCGCCTCGCCTCCGGTCGATAGTTGTCATATCCGAAGATCTTTTCAAACTTGCGCGGCCCGTCTTTGGGTTCCTTCGCGGCCATTGCCACTCCCTCCCTGAGTAATTATTTGCCCAATGCAGCTATTGCTTGCGGTCGGTACATGCATGCGGGTCGAAGAAGCTGTTGGTTGGCACAAGTGTTGGGCTGCCATCTACGACATTGGTGTACCGTTGCATCGACGGTCACATGACGAGAGCGACACCGAAACTGTGATACGCCCCCCTGCAAATCGCGTGGCCCTCAGGGATGGATCAAATTCCCAAGTTGAGCCTGATGCCTGAATGTTGCAAATCTAGGTTGGAAATGTCATCAAGCAGCCAAAGGGTTCTGCTGTGCGAGGACTGTCAAGCGGTCAAAGCGGGCTGCACATGGTCGAACTAACTTTCGTCGCAAGGTCGACGAATGTTGATCTCGATGCCCAACCACAACCATGAACGGCGTTTCCGACTTCCCTCTTTTATTAAGGGCGGAACAATGCATTGTTCTGATAGTGTGCCCCCAAACACATCTCCGCCGGCCTAGTGTCGCCGCCAGAGGCAAAATTTTCGTGCTCCAGTTCACATATAGCGGGCGCCGAAAAGGGGTTCTGTTATCCGTAGACTGTTACGTTGCAGTGCACGCCCTGCAAACAGCTGAGGCGGGCAGCAAGAGCAAGACCATGTCTTGTCCAGTTTGTCAGAGGCTCGGAGGCTCAGAGTTCACAGAACTGACGTTTCTTTTCTTCCAAAGGAGTCAAGCCGATCTCCGATTTCCGATTTCCACCAAAGCCCTGGTCGATCTACGCCAAGCTGAATTGACGTTTCCTCTTGGTTGTGTACTGGGAGGACGTGGGACTTGCACTTCGGCATCTCTCAGAACCAACCACTTCTGATGAGTTTTCTGGATAATTTCAGTCTGGTCCAAAGCTGGCGAATATGACCAAATGTGCGAGCAGAATGGTTGTGAGGCCTTGTATGATATGCCCAACGAGTCATAGGACTTTGATGACAGACAGACATGCATGTGTGCAGAGCCTGTGGCTACTCTTTGATATTTGCCGCGAAAATAGAGTCTGGCCCCGTCACCGTTGAACTCTCGGAGCGGGTGATTTGATCGGGCAACTTGCCGGATGAGACCCCCACAGCGGTAACCGGACACCTAGATCCGTGCCAACCTCCATTCCGGTCCGGTACGTTGGATGCGACTAAGTCAGTGGGGTGCCAGTCAGTCAGAATTGCTTAGTAAGCTCGCGTCCGTGAGACTTGATGTATTGTCATTGGCCCTCCTGCCAGAACAGATGTTCCCACAATTGTTGAGCTTGATGCGGACAATATATTCTGATCCTTTGTTTTCCTCATACTTTGGTATCATGTTCTGTTTTGTTTAGCCAACGCCCTGTGGTATATCCATCGCCATCCCAGACGAGGACGGTCTGTAGAAATGCAGCCCACGCGAGTCGGGGAGTCGGCCGTTGTCGCCAAGATGGAATCTTTCGCTTCACATTGAGATCATACGATTTGCGAACCGTTGTCATGTGAACTTGCCGGTGAGCACCGATGATTGTCAGGGGTTGTTACTGCAGCGGGCGAGCATGCCCCACCTGTCTGGCAAAGAGGTTATCATCAGCGCAAGAATATCAGTGCGACATCTACGCACTTTTCCTGGTCAGGCCTGATGCTGTACGGACTTCGACATAGATGGCCATTGGTTATCAACACGAGGTATGCGATCCGCGGAAGAAGGCTGCCAATGGTGTACAGGCGAATCAATATCGAAATCATTTGTTTTCGTTTTGTTGCTCTGACCTGTTATCTAGTCACCAGGTCAAGCAATGAAAGGAAAATTCCTTCCTTTCCTCGTACTCATCTCTGATTATACCGACGACAGTCACATCGTGAATGACTCCAGGCTGCTCCCCTTGTACCTCCTACACCTCGGAGCATGGAGAAGGGTCATTCGTCCAGTCAGACCTTTAAACAATACGGCGCCTGAAGTCGCGAGCTGCCTTGATTCGCCAAACTTCGCTCAAGCGTAGATGACGTGGTACAACAGCGGTTGGCCACAGACGGCTGGCGCGCAAACCGGTGGGTATGGCTGGTGCCGAGAGTATATGGCAAATAACTTTCAGTTTCCGCTCCGAGTAATGGTAGTTTCGCAGGGTATATTGCTAAGCGAAGCATGTGTTCCAACAAACTTCATTGGGCTTGGCCACGACGTGGTTTATTCCTCCATATTTAGCCATAAACAAGGGGAAAGAGGAACCCACGAGAAGTTCCCAGACGTCTCAGGACACACAACTGCATTGGGCTTGGTAAGCTTGTTTCCACCTCTTGAGCGAACAAGGGGCAATACGCAACGTGCTCAGGCGCTGAGCGCTTGCGGAGCTCTGAGCAGCCCCTTCCTGAACTGATGATTCGAGGCCGCTTAAGGCTGCTCAGAGCCTAGTATGTGGTTGTTGGTAGAGGCTCGGGCGTTGGCGGCTAGCTCGTTATGTACTTTAGTATAGAAAGGCGCACTGAGCTCAGCTATCCTTGGGATAGGCTGTCGCTTATCACGCCCAAATGCCAACGTCAAGATTGCCATGTATCTTGTGGTTGATATGTTTGCTGCTCTCTCTTGCAGTAGCAAACAATGGACAAGGCTGTGTGAGTCGAAGGGTGCCCTCGTGGATGCGAGTACCGGATGCCGAGTTGCCGTGGCTCGGTTGCCCACCGGTCGCTTAATGAAGATCCATTCTTTTCCGGGTCGCTGGCAACGGTTGCCAGGAGCAAAAGTACCACCAAGTGACTTATGACAAGGGTTTGGCGCGTGGAGTGTTGGAACCAGCATTTCGGAAAGTGAGATACTTGGAGAGGCCTAGACATTATCGGGATCGCTCAGTTTTTGTCTTTTCGAAGCTCTTTTCCATGAACCAACGTCAGCAAAACCGACAAGGGCTAGCTCCCGGCCCGCATGCCCATGCATAGGATGAGTTGGCGTGTTATTAGCAGCGTGTGGCTCTTGAGTCGTTACGTCGGCGTTTGCAGGCAGTTCAAGGCCTTCCGTGAAAACCATGTCTCCTTGACTTCCCAAGACGTCTCTGCCTGCCTCTTCGAGCAGAATACCCAAGGCGAGTAACGCCGACTCGTCCATGCTTCTCTCGTCAATATTGCGAGCGCCGACTTGGTATGAAGGAATGCGCTTGGGGCCGCCAAGAGCAGAGTAAAAGTAGCTCGCATAAGTGTGTACTGATTTGAGAAGATCAGAGTCTGGCAGGGATGTACGGCCGCCGTCTGCCAGGTTCCGGTCATGTGCCATGTAGACATCGAACTCGGCAAAGCGTTCGGGTGCTGATTTGCGGCGGAACAGCACCTCCTCTGGGGCTAACGCGGAAGCGTTGATGGGATGTCTAGTCAGCTTAGGCGGTTTTGAGTTGGCTTGAGGCGTCCTTTCATCCCGAACAGCAGCATCTAATGCGGTATCAAATCTGATTCTTCCTAGCCTTAAGTTGGTACTTGTTCAGGTGGAATAGCTTGGGGCTGGTTTATACTCACCTGCAACAGCATCATAAACGTTGGCATGCCTCTGCGACCGCTTTGTTTCTTCTGTTGGACGCTGAACAAGCTCGGGATCATGTGCATCAGAATGGTCGTTGTTGTCAGAACGACTTTCTGCTGGTTGTGATTCCATGATAACTTGGGCTATGATTTTAATATGGTAGGTCTGGAAGATTTGTTGTCGTCGTCGGTCAACGGAAGTCGGGGTGCAAAAACGCAGGCGCGCTGTGTGGATGAAAGTACCGAGCAACGAAGAGGCGGTCCTTGATGAATGAATGCTAACGGTATGGTGCTCCCAGAACAACGATTCGGCTCGTGGGCGATGAGAGAGATTTGGCGATGGCCAAGGTAGCCAAAGGCAACATGTCTTGAGGAGTTTGCGAGGTCACAGGAGTGGCAGGATGGAGTCCTCGCACCTTCTAATTCAATTTCAGATCGGGCAGGAATGTCCTGACTGACCAGCCTCAGAGTGAAGGTTTTGAAAAATGGGTCCCAGTCAGTGGGCTGGCCAATGGCGAGACACGCATCCCATTTCTGCCTAGGCACCTTGGGTACCAAGCTCTTACCTAAGGTAAGGTACCTTAGGTGGACGAACGCACCTGAAGAAGGAATCTACGGGCAACCATAGGGGACGGCTACGCTGGACAGAAGTTGCTGACATCATCACGACTGCCTTGAGCGACCTCATCCGCCCGTCCGTCTAAGCCTCATCAAACTTGACGACTCTTAAACCACATCAAGCTCGCCCAGAGACAAGTGACAGCACGTCTCGTTGGAAATTATCTTTCTGCTTCGATTCCCAGTTCCAGATGAATGCAGGCCCGTTTGCTTGCCCGCTCAACAGGTGAGCTGAGCCCGGATGGCTTTGCGCGAGCCACCACGTCGGGGCTCGTCCGATCCTTTGCCGCTGCTCCGCAGCACCGGTTCGACGGAGAGGGCGCCGAACCCGAAGAAGCGGGTCGCCATGTCAATTTTTGGGCTCACCGCATTGGCGTCAATGCACTGGCCTTGGACAAGTTTGACGGCCGTCTGTAAGTACTTCTTGATTCGTCTACTGTGCCATAGGTCCGTGTTATCTAACACCTGATACTTGATGGCAGACTTCTTTCCGGTGGTGCAGACGGCTCTGTGAAGCTCTGGGACCTTCATCAAGAGAGTAACCCTCATGCGTCCCACGTCTTCAAGCCCATAGCCAATATTGCCCGGTCTACTGGAGACGAGGCGAACACGCACAAGCATGGCATCACTCATCTTGATTTCTACCCTTTCGACAACGAGGCCTTTCTCTCCAGTTCTTTTGACCGTTCACTCAAGCTCTGGTCTACCCAGCGGATGACTGTGTCCGCCAACTTTGATCTCAATGCCAACATCTACACTCATGCTACTAGCCCCATCGCCAATCACCTCCTAGTTGCGTGCGCAACCCAGCACTCAACTGTTCGGTTGATCGACCTCAAGTCAGGATCGTCAATTCGTTCGCTGGTCGCTCATGGGGGTGCTGTTTTGTCGGCAGCCTGGAGTCCCCGTCACGAGCACGCTCTTGCCACCGGGCATGTCGACGGTAAGGTTCGTGTTTGGGACATAAGGCGCGCCTCTGGCTTAGTCGGCCAGCTCGACCAGGAGGACAGCCTTGGTGTCTTACACCGCTTCGACCATGCCATGGCTTCTGGGCTCGATTGGGCACATGAGCCTCACTTCCGCAGCTCAGCTCGAGCTCACAACGAGGGTGTCAACGGCTTGACCTGGACCGACGACGGCAAGTACATTATATCAGCCGGCTTGGATCGTCGAATACGTGTTTGGGATGCTGCTACTGGCGCAAATACGCTAGCTAGTTTTGGTTCCATGATACAGAATCGACAGCCAAAGGCCGTAAGCATGTTCGTCACGCCCGCTCGACTGACCTCAGCACGTCGGGATCTTCTCTTTTACCCCAACGAACAAGAGATCCTGGTCATGGACTTACACGAGGGCACCTTGGTATCGCGTCTACGTGTGCCCGGACCGTCGGCAGCGACTGGGCACCAGGGCAGTGGTCTGAATGTCAAGAATCGCACCATGAGTATGGTATGGCGTGGCAGTGGTGGGTCTGGTCTCCAAAAAGGACCTATAATGGGTGGCGGGAGCGCTTTTGGAGCCGTCTACACGGCTCACTTGGACGGCCAGATACGTTGTTGGATGCCCCGGCTGCCAGGATCCGAGGACGATGACGATACCCCTGATCCCCAGGATGCAAATGAGGAAGAAAGAAGCCGCAAGCGCAAAGCACTAGATGACGCCTTTAGAAGCCTCATGGGCAAGCAAATCACGTTCACTTGATATCGTCTGGCTTCGTAATACGCCTTACCGATGCAAAACACCTCATTTAGCCTCATTGTGAGGCCCTGGAGGGAACCCGAAGCGAGTGCCTCGTATTCCACATCGCCGGGAGCATTGGCGTCTAGGCATCTTCTCGAGGCCGTGCGGAGTGCACTCCTTAGCCTTTCCACGGGCATGGGAATCCGCATCTGCGCGATACTAGGAGGCTGAAACTCGTCATCACGTCTCTACGATGCGTAGCCTGCAAGCCTCCCCTTGCGTGTCAACTCAGACTTTGACGTGCGAATAGAAGGGGTGTGCGTCAACTTGCCAAGGTCAAAAGCCACTTCCACGGAGACCTAGTAGTCGTGGGGGTTACATTCTTTCGCCCTGTTGTTCAGCTACGTGGTAGGCTAGTTGGCGATCATGCTTGACGCAAAACTCGTCGCGACCTTGTGTTGAGAACAGACCGACGACGACGGAAAGTAGCGGGCCTAGTTACACCCTTGAGTTGCCGACATCAACATCATCGGCATTTCATGCTTGTCGCGGCTTCCATCGTTTATACCTCCATCGCCCTGTGGGGATCACTCAGATCATCACCGCTCAGATGTCCATGCATCGATAGCCCTTTATTGACTGCGCACCCCCTCAGTCAATCCGTTGACCATGGGAACACTCTGTGTAGTGCTGTTACATCGCTTGACTACCTCACATCTCAAGTGCAGAGCTGGAACAGGTCTATTTCACCTTGCGTCGCCCTTCTCCTCCGTCATTCGCCCGGCACTAGAGCTCCCAGTCTACCGACCCCCCGGCCGCGGCGGCCAAGGCCAGCTGGGCACGCCGGAAGGCTTCCCCGCCGCCTTTTTCGACCTCCTGCATTAGCTCCCGCTCCGTCCCAGCATCGTGGTTCTCAGAACGTATCTTACTCGTTGTGGAGGAGGACGGCCTCCACGCCAAATTTGGGCCATGCAATTAAGCTCTTTTCTTCTTAGGCTGCTCAAATGCATCGGGATGGGCAAATTAGCAAAACCTCGGACGCGGCAGGGGTGAACCATCAGGGGTTGGCGATCCTGGCAAGCCTAGCTTAACAGGCGATCCAGAACAGCACCATCGTCGGATCAGCCCTGGCGGGCAGACGGGGATGTCGAAGCTCAGATGTGTAAATAGAGGAACCCGATGGTTCGCAACAACTGCAAGGGGTCTCCTTCAACATCAAAGCTGACGGTTCTGGTCTACATTATCCGACTTTGCCAGTACGGCTTAGCGGCTCAACGGCATCGAGCATTTCATGGGCCCGGGCTGTTGCGAGATGATAAGATGGTGGCAGGCTCTCTCATCCACCCAGATCCCTTTCGGCCAAAGAGCTAGTCGTCCCTTTGTGATTCATTGGTTCTCGCTCGGCGAATATGTCCGTGGAATACGCTCTACTGCAAAGATGACGGTGCTAGCCCACATAGCGCTATGGCGCCCAAACCTCGCCGACTGTGCACCATGCCCTGCGAACTTCCTCGCCCTAATGCGCCACTCGTCCTATCCCAAGACCATCCCAAGACCATCCCAAGCCCTCACATGATCTCGCTTTCCTGCAGGCCAAACCGTCTGCGCCCGGCTTTGCTACAACCAGACAAACGCTAGACATCTCTTTCCGTCCAGCTCCACGAACTATCCTCCCCTGACCGGTCTGTTCATCCCTACTAAGCACGAGGCGGACAATGCAGGGGGGGCTCTGCTTAGGAATAGGTGTGATTGCCTCTCCCGCCCAGCGCCGAACAAAAGGATCTACCGACGGCGTCAAAACATCATTTTGGGGGCCCCCACTTCCCTTTCGATGGCGCACTTCCAGGCGGCCGTTCTAGATGCAATACTTCCTACGAACGCCAGCCCTGGGGCTCTCGACTCAAGGAAGCGGGCGCGCGGATAGGAGGGAAAGGAGGCCATGGTATCGAGATCGTGGTTGAGTAGGTACGAGTGGCGGGCTGAAGTAAGAGGTCGGTGCTACAACCCGAGGGGACGTCATATTCTCCTCCTCCTTCTCCTCCTCCTCTCGGAGCTCTGCCGGGGTAGTATTGGATTCGAAGCTCGGGATACAGACATCCGACACCCCGGAAAGAGTCATTTTTGGATGGGTGACTGGAGATCTTCCTCCGGAAGCCCGCGGACGCCCGCGAGCTGCTTGATATATGGCTTAGCTTGCTATTCCTAGCGCAGATCCTTTCCCGACGTCGCGTGCGTCCGCGTAAGCGCGTCTCCGTTGGGGACTGCGCTTTGATAGTAGTTGTGAGATATTGATACTGGTACCTACCTTATGAACCGGAAGGTGGGGGGTGGGGGCCAGCGGAGGCCAGTGTAGAACCATGATAGGATAATGGGAATGTGCTTGTCAAATTTGGGTTTCGGAAGTTGAGGAGTGCATCGGCTGTGTGACCGCCTCCCTGGTGAACCGGCCAGAACCTTCCGGGTGGCGACAAGGCTTCCGGGCCGTCGGGCATCCACCTGGCGCTAAAGGCACGGGTCCGGAGGAGAGCTAGGTTGACATCACTCCGAGCCCCGACAATATCTAGCACTTGGTAGTCATCTACTTCATCGGCGTTCTGAATGGGCACTAGAGAATATTGATCCCACGGCGTCCATCTCTGAAGGCAAAGGTCGACGAGTCACTGAAGAAATTGCCTTTGCTGATTATTTTTGGTGTTCATCTTTTCACGAGGTGTAGAGTGCTGCTTCAATATGCTAAACGGCCCGAGAAAGTCTTGGTTAGTATGTACATAGATGTATGAATGGTTCGGTACAGAGGAAAGTGTTGATCACTCGGAAAGTTCGAACTGTAGCACATCGGGCCCTGCCTGTTTGTTCCGTAGAAAGAGGTCTCGCTGCAGACGGATTGGAGTATCGAATCTTCAACAGTCGACTCCGTTGCCTTGGCCAGTGGGAACTCAGCCTGCTAGATCTGCTCTGAGAAGCATTCACCCGGAAGGAATGTGGCCGCCAACTTATCAATCTCCCAGCCAGCAGCGCAATATAGATTGACATGGACGCAGAAATATGTTCCACATTAGTTGTCTTGTTGTACATCTCTAGCAAACAATAATCGCCATCTCTCCCTTCCTCTTCGTCTCCCTTTATTGTGACTCTATCTCTTCTTATTTCTTTCTGTTTTATTTACTTTCTCGTGTTCTCTCCTTCTTTGTTTCTACTTTCTATTGAATCTGGAATTGAATATGTTAGGGAAAATAAAAGAGGATATAGAAGTAAAAGTTTCCTCTCTCGAATAGTCTTATAAGGCCATTATAGCGCTTGACAGGCATTCTTGCCTGCTATGTATAATTTGCAGGATTTCAGTTTTCTAGTAGCGCACATTTCAATGCCTCTGGCCATCTATGAGCGAGGGCATTAGCAATTGCCACGCATTCAGCAGCCGACGCGACAACGGAGGCGTCGCAGGCCTCCGGCTGGGCCTTGGCCTTGACGTTCTCAGCATCGGCCTAGCCAATGTCTCCACCCGGAGGCAACCGACAGACAGCGTAGCGCTGCGTTGAAAGAGGATGGCGAGTTCGGGTGAGGACTTCTTGGCAGCAGGAGCCTGCGTGACGTAGTCAACCCAAGCCGACCAACGTTCTCGCTTGGGGTCGGCGCACGCGAAGAAGCGGGAGATTTGGCCACGGAATTTTCGGGAGGTAGCGATGGTCAACGGATCGTCCGCCTCGACGAGAAGCTATTCCGCTGGGGAGGCAAGAGCCATCGCCAGCGGCCAATAATGGGAGAGGCCATGGTGGCGGCGGCGGCAGCGGAGGCATGAAAATCCTTTCTGAAATTTCTATTTAGAACGGCTGCGAGAGGAGCGGCGATATTCAAAGTGATATTTCGAGTCCTCTCAACTTGGTTTCTCTGTGTCGACTGATGCCTGATCCGCTTGGTAGAAAAAACGAGAATATAGACAAATATCAACAAAAAGCTCCCAGCACTTGGCAACACGATCATCGCAATTTACACTGCGCGGTCTAACCATCTACCTACCAAGCCACCATGGTTGCCCTCTCACTAGCGGTGATTATGGCCAACCGACCATTACTTATAACTGCTCATAGATTTTCAATAGCTTAGGAGCTTTCGTCTAGTCCATGGTCTGCCAGGAGTGCCACCCTAGATATATTCGTCCCTAAACTTCTTATCCCTTTTCTGCTTGTGCCTTCGCTGGGCTTCTCCACTGGACGTGTGACATGAATGCCACCCACGGTTGCCAAGAAGCACTTCTGCCCAGGTACACGGAGTGAAGAGGACTTTGGGGTGCCGTTTCTCCCTAGTGAAGCCGCGGCCGAGATTGATTACACGGGTTCTCGAAACAACAGCCACGCTGCCCGCTGATGTCGCTGGCAATGGATAAAGGCTGAGCTAAACTGCTTCATAAAAAGCATGTGAACTCCAGGATTGTGCTCCCTGACAAAACTTCCCCGGCTAAGGCCGACATTTTCGCCACAGGCGAACTCGAGGTCGGGGTGCATGTTGCTGCCCACCAGATAATGGAGACCAAACTCAGTCCGAATTTGCTTCCGGGGGTTATACCCCGGAATACAAGAAGCCTTTCCGAGGCGTAAGGTCGATTGTGGGCCGTTCTTGTGAGGCGAGTGAAATACAGACCTAATCCAAGAGTTGATAGGCACATGACGTAAGATTCAGTGTCTACTGGACCGGCTGCTTGGTATTCATCGGAGCAGCCAGGTCGCCCAGTGATGATGTCGAGTCCCAACACTGTAACGCCCAAAGACGCCTCAAAGCGAGCATGATAGTTAGGTAAGGCCTTCTGGATGATAGGGCAAATCGTCTCTAGTGTTACGGCTTGCAAGAAGCTGAATGGATGTGAGATCGCCGGTTCTAGGGTTTGCATTCTCCCTTAGCGGTCTTGGCGTCGACTACCAACTTTACCATGATCTGAGAGAGTTCAACGCCGGCCAGGTGATCGTCAATCCCGGTCAATCATTGACTTCTCGCTGGATCGCGTGCATGCCATGATTCTACGTCGGTTCATATTGATTTGTCCCTGATAGTCATGGCGGTCTAATCCACATTGTCAGTCAGGGGTATTGCATGTTGCAGATGATGATGGAAGTAGACTTGAGCTCGTAGACAGCGCCAAATTCATTATCCGAGTTGTCCTTACCCAGGTGGAGGACGAAACTCTTAAGAGTGATCGCGAAGCACCAGCTGATATTTGGGAACTTTAGGTCAGCCACGAAAGCCTCAATCTTTGAGACATGTGCGGCAGTAATATTGCTGTTAGCAATTAATGGGCCGTCAAAGTCGTCGTTGAAGACAGCACAGCGCCTGAAGAATGGAGTTAACTTTGGGCAACAGCTTTAGCTACGGAGCTCTCAATCACCTCTGGCTGAGATATGAAGTTGGATTTTGAACAGTCGACTGAAAGCAGCACCTATGACAAACCTACTGCGTAGTAATTAAAACGAGACCAGGCTGTTGAAACAACGAGATAATCACACGCTAAATCCTCCAGAACGTCTCTCAACAGGTCAAGTCTTCTACTAGACGAAGGAAACTTCCACACAGATGGCAATGTTCAACGACAAAGTGAAGTACTAAATACGCCCACAAATGCGGTCCGAGCCATCAACTGGGGTTTCATGGACATCCAACGAATTTGCATCCCTATTCAAGTGAAAGAGAAGAAAATGGATACGCCGCTGCCTAGATTGTTTGAAATGGAGAGGTTGAAAGCCGCCGGAGAGACAATTGCCTAAACGCAATAGAATCCTTGAAGAGGAGGAAAAGAAGATGTCATCACGTGTCAGGTAGTATCCGAGACCAAAACGGGATCATGTTCCCTCTCAAAGAGGCCCTAAACACAACGGATGGCATGGACCCGATCTAGGTATTGCATTGGAGGGCCAGATTCAGTTAAGAAAGGAGTAAGAAATTGGTCAAGGTCAACATAGGAAATTGATGCAATTTGGATTTATGGTAGACAGGGTAGCAGTTTGCCATCAATACCAGGTTGAGCTTAGGCGACGTTTAACTTATGCATCACTCAATCGGACATACGCAACAGGAAAAACATGAATAAGTCCAAATGTTTGAGAGAAAATAATTTCATTCAGTCATATCGCTATGGTACAATCGTACTAGGTATCATTGCATTCATCCTTTGCAGTAAAACAAATCCCCTCTTTACAACCCGCGGTGAGTGTCCTGGTGAGAAACCTTGGAGTTACGTCTCACACGGTCATGTCCATGGTCCCCATGTGCAATCTCGGGCTCGCCAATGTGCTTAGCAAGGACGGAAGGAGGTACCTGAGCGGCGTCCGTAGGATCCTTGGCAGCAGAACTCGAGGTCCCATCCCTGGCGTTGTCAGCCGCCAAGCTCTTTTTCACTCATACAATCCGAGTCGGAATTTCTGCTCGTGGTGTCGCTTACTGGAAGGTTCGGTTACCGCCCACGGTCTTTGATCCGTCAAGATCGGAGTCTACGCGAGGGTCGGCCTTGTTCAGGAAGTCTGACTTGTGCCTGCAAAGATGTTAGAGAGGGATGCCACCAAAGAGAAAGGGAGTGAGATGGGGACTTACGGGCCAGCGGTTCCTGGAGCAGGACCAGTGCCGTGGACACCGCCGACAGCAGCGCCATGTCCAGTGTGTCCAGTGGCGCCAACGCCGGTGTGAGTGCCCGTGGTGCCCGTGGTGCCCGTGGTGCCCGTAGTTCCATGGGTACCCGTAAGTCCGGAGTCGTAGGTGTTGGAGCCGACAGCACCGGTGTGGCCTGGGGCACCGCGGTGGTCGCGGTCAGAGTCGACGCGGGGGTCGGCCTTGTTGGCAATTCTCGAGCTGTGGGGTCCGTGAACTCCGTCAGGGTCGTCATATCCTGTGACGTTGGAACCCGTCAGGCCACCAGTGGTACCGGTGTGACCCGTGGTTCCGTGGGTACCAGTGAGACCGGAGGTGCCGGAGTGAGCTCCGGTCGTGTGGTGACCAGCACCAGCAGGGTTGCCGGTCAAACCACCGGCGTGTGTACCGGTAGTGCCGTGCGAGCCCGTAAGGCCGCCGGTAGTGCCGGTGTGGGTACCGGTCGTGGCGTGTGATCCGGTGAGGCCAGAGGTGTGTGTGTTGGAGCCTACGGCACCGGTGTGGCCTGGGGCACCGCGGTGGTCGCGGTCAGAGTCGACGCGGGGGTCGGCCTTGTTGGCAATTCTTGAGCTGTGGGGTCCGTGAACTCCATCAGGGTCATCATATCCGGTGACGTTGGAGCCCGTGAGGCCGCCGGTGGTGCCGGTGTGAGTGCCCGTTGTGCCGTGAGTGCCGGTCAAGCCACCAGTCGTGCCAGTCGTGCCAGTCGTGCCGGTGTAAGCACCAGATCCAGCAGGGTTGGCGCGGTGGTCACGGTCAGAATCGATACGGGGGTCGGCAGCGTTTGCAATACGGCTGTCATGGTGACCGTGAGTTCCCTCGGGCTGCTCGTGCTTCTTGTCAGAGGACAGAGCATCCTTGACCTTGTTGACAATGGAAGACATATTGGGCGATGTGATGTTCTGGGTATCAAGTAAAGTCAGGTATAAATGTTAGAAGAGGTAGTTGGTTTTGAGCGTTGGTGTGAGAGTGGTTGTTGGTTTGGGTATCTTGTGTTATGATGAAGAGAAAAGAAACGAGACCAGACTGAGAGGGAGAGGTTCTGGAGGTTATATAGAATTAAAGGCCATCGAGAAGCTGCATCTCCAAATTCCTTTTCCCATTGGTAGATCATACAATTACGATCCCGGTCCAGCAAGCCCGTGGCTGGCCTCTCCCTCTCTCTCTCTCCACCCTTGCAACGCCCACGCTGTGACTGACAACAATCAAGGAACCTGCATCACCGTGCCTGCTTGCCTTGCTTGTCTAGGCCTGTCCAGCGCCAATGCCCTACACGCCGGCATGGGGTTGGTTTGCAGGAGAACCGCAGAGGTGAGGGACGGCAGGAGGCGTGCTTGCGCTCTTACTTCATACATCGTCATAGGTCTTGGACGCAGCTGTCTCATTCGGGATACAAGCTTCAAATTGCCAACCAGTCGGGGTGAGGCGTTGGCAGGCTAGCACGTCGGTACATCTGCTCCGGAGGGAGACGGGGGTACCCGCCTACCCCCAGGCCAATGGGGTACCGGTGAGCTAGACCCAGTTTGCCATTGCTGGATGACGACCCAGGACCATTGTCTGGCGTGACACTGCGCTTGTTTCCGTCAAGCCTTTTTTTGCTCTGCCTCTTGAGACTCTCCCATTTGGCATGGGAACGGGGTACGGAGGTACTCAGGGTCCCCAATCGAGAGGGCTCCCAAGACTCAATAGCACGTAACTTGTCAAGGATTCGTCGTCATAGGCCAAAGGAACAGCGGGTCACGACGGTTCAAGAGGGATGAAGATCTGTGGCTAGTGACGTTATAGGGCTGCGAAATGAACAGCAAATGTGGCGAAGACAATGGAGAAGAATTGGGGACGTGTACATTTTGGCTCGGACTGGAGCACTTGGTCTCGTCGTTCAGGTACGCTAATCACACGTGGTGGAGGAGGGGAAGCTCAGAACTAGGTACCTAGCTGTTCCGCCCGGCGCTCCTGTTCGTCCCTCCGTTTCATCCAAGCGTGACACAGTTGCCAAGCTGAGCTGGCATCTGATTGGGGTAGTGCAGCGTTGGAGACAAAACGAGAGACGGACCGGCCGCCGCGCGTCGTGTCTCACAGCCTATTCAGCGAGCTCCAAGTTCTTTACTCCAAGTAGGTAAGGTAGGCATTGAGCACGGGTTGACAAGGTACGTTACGAGCTGTGAGACATCGGAGATCTCAAATGACCCTACGAAGCCAGAACCGGGCAGAAACGCAATCCATGGTGGCGGTTGTACGAGGAAAGACGTGCTCCGAGCTTTTCGTCGGGTCGAAGTTCCTGGGGCGAGGTCTGAGAGGTGAGGTGAAGCCGTGTGGAGTGATGTGACATGGATCGAGGTTTGACGTTCCCGAAAGCGTATGCTCCGCCAGAGGTCCGCTCAAACCCACAGAACCAAGGCAACGGGAAGAAAACCCCCTCCAATGACGCAGCACGAAAGCTCGGCTGGGCCGCCCCGCGTGTGGCGTTAGCTCCATGATTGGACGCCGGACTGGAGAGCGGGGATAGAGGGAAATTGTGATGTGGCTAGTGAGCTGCCGCCCTTTGGTGTTGTTTTTCGTGTGAGATGTCCGTCGTGTGGCGTCACTTACTCCATAAAATGCGGTCATAGATGCTCAGCTCCTCGAGCCGTGGCGCTAGCTTGCTGTATGTAACCTGCTCTGACCTCCCATTGCCTCCCTCGACCCCTCCTCCAAGCAGCTTTGCGGGGCATTACGCCATGCGGCTCTCATCGGACAACCAGGAGGAAGCCGGAGGAATATGAAGGAGGTGGGAGAGTGAGACATACAGAGACTTGTGCCTGCCACCACATCTTTGCCTGTGCCCAAGTAGCTAGACCTTTCGTTAGTCTTTACCTTACCCCTCCATGTCTCTGTTTGTTTTTTAAAGTGACAACACAGAGTCGACAAGGACAACATGACATCCCCGTCCTGGGTTGGAGATCCCGACAAGGAACTCAGACGCAGAACCAACCCCCTTACCGCCCCCTTTGCAAATAACCTCCAAAAATAACCTACCATCAAAGAGAAGATCGTCCAAACTCGGTCATACCAAACGGATGTTTGCGCAATTCCCATCCCAACAGACTATGAGGCCTCGTAAACTTTGCCGCCGTTCCTTACAGTGATCTACCAAACCCTCCTTTTGAAAGACCGACCCCCGCACTATTTTCCTGATGCGTGACCTGTTTTTTCGACGCCAAGCTAGTGGGAAGTAAAAAAAAAAAAAAACCACACACGCCGTCTTCCCGCATATCGCGCCCTCTCTCCACCCCCGGTAGCCACACGTTTACGAGACAAGCGGTCCCGACCGGTGCCAGAAGTGAGCTCTGCCATGGTACCTTGGGGGAGTCTAGTGAGTAAAGGTAAGGTGGTACGGCGCAGTAGTTCAAAAGCGGTCTGGGACCCAATTCTGCTCAGCCGCTCAGAGTCCAGGCGTCGCGGGTTCCTCTTGGGGGGAAACGCGGATCGTGAAAATTTAGAGAGATCTCATTATTGTCAGGGAAGCCCGGAGGCGGGATCCTACGTAATTTCCATTGCAAATGGTATAATGGCTCCCTCTCCTTGGCCCAAGGTCCATCCCGACCCCGCTCACGGGAGCTGCAGTGGCTTGGGGGGGTTCGGTTTGGACGAGGTAAGAATATGGGGAAACTTGCTTGACGCCCCGAGACACGGGCCACGGTCTGTGGCCTCTCGTCTGGAACGGTCCAGAACTGCAGATTCCATGGGCCATCGATGGTCACGAGGAGCCAGAAATGATTGATTTCAAGGGTGGTTAGCGCCTCTTCTCAAACGCTTCGTCGTGGAGCACAGGTCTGTTTTCGGAACGACCTGATGGCAAAGCGGTGGCCGCGGCGTGCATGAGCAGGAGGCGGTCAGTAACAGAAGCTCGCCTTCGAGTCGAAAAATGCGGTTGGTGAGACTTGGCTAGCTTGATTTGCCCGCTTCTCTCATCTCGCTTCCAACGGCTGCACCCCTTCTCTAGACATTTTCTTCGATGCTGCGGCACTTCTTCGCCTAGTCTTCCCACATTGTCTGATCCCTCGTTACCAATTCACTCAAGAAGTACGTCATTTGCGAGGTTGAGCCGTCTCCCAGGACATAGCGTCCGTGATCGCCTCTTTCGTGTCTATCACAACCTCCCGACGTTGCTCCATCGCATCAATGAGATCTCTAGAGACGGCCTTCTGACACAATGTCGTGGCAACGTCGTATGAATTCGACAACTAGTGCAGATACGTGATCCGAATGATCTAGAGGAATAGTTGAAGTGAGGCCTTATCTGAACATGAGGTTTGGCAATGGCGATCGCGATTCGACATATCTCGCGACTATGGATTTCGATGGAACAATTGCGCACTAATGCGTCAGCCTTCATCCGTCAGCTACCTAGTTGTTGATATGGTAAAACAGGCTTCAAACTTCATCAACTAGCAAATTAGATCTACCCTGTTCAAAGTGAAAAGCTGCCACCTGCGATCCTATAGCTTGTGTAGCGTCGATGGAAGACTTTACACACCCAGTCAGCAACACTGCTGCAGGCTCGTTGACAGAGACGATTCAGATCTTCATAGACGAACTCCGCCGGTAGATGGCGACATCACCTCAAGACACATCCCAATCGCTCATCGAAGGAGAAATAAGTCATGTGCTCGTCATAACGACCTGAAAAGCGTCAGGCGGCCAAGACTGCGTTGTCAAGTAGATGTGCAAGCTTCGAAATGGCGCGGAAAACCCCCGAGCAAATGCAAAGATGCGTGTCGTTTGGACGTCCGTGTGGCTGTGTGCCGCTCTCCTACACTCAATTTTGAACGCAAATTACTCGCCTTTGATCTTGTTCTATAGGCGTGTGAGATTAGATGTTACAACATCAGCGCCCAAAGTGGGCTGCAGTCGGCATCCCTAAACATCGCGGGACACATCCGGACATCCTAGGGCTGCGGCCCCGACGGGTGACCCACTTCCCCCGGATTCCCTATTTGCCAAGACCGCGGAGCTTTTTCCTCGCGCCGGCTATCAGCAACCGGGTGGTGAGAGCGCTATGCTAAAGCTGATAAGGACTCTGAATCGGGAATAAGGTTACCAGGGATTATTTGGATGCCTTCGAGTGTGGCTTGACGTGTGGCTGCATCGACCATCATGTTTACATGGACGTCCACGACGAAGTGCGCATCTTAAACGTAAGTATGATTTAAGATACACTATTGGCAGCTGGGCTGCTAATGTACCTTCCGTGACATCTCGTGTACACGGCCAGTCGCACACATGGTGATGTGACAAGCAAAGATTACAGAAATTTGTCGCCAATACGGTATTCAGCAATTAACTATTTTGTAGTGGTAATGTAATTGGGTGATATTAAGAGTAGGGAATATGATATTGTAGGCTGGGCGTTATCGGGTATCAGATCATCCAGTAAAGACATGAGTCAAGCCGTTCATTCTCTCATACGGTTCGTGTTGACAAAGCAAAAAAAGAAACAAAAAATGCAGTGAACCGTCCAACTCCTTCCTACTACCGCCGTCCATCGTAGAGATGAGCATAGGATATCATGAAAAGACAGCGATCTCACTGCCCATTGATCTCTTTTGACTGGTGCAAAGCCCGCGAGACCTATGGTTTAAGGGGTATCAAGTTGCGCAGGCCATTCGGAAAGTATGCACGCGTTGCTTAGACGCGCGAAGAGCGGTACCAGCGGCGGCGACCGTGGGCGGGGCGGCTATCGGCAACAGCGGCGCGACGACGGACCCAGAAGAGGCCGACAAGGGCAGAGGCGAGCCAGACGATGGCGGACAAGAAGCAGAACGCAATGTTGGCCTTGTTACGACCGCACGCATCACCACGAGGGCTGACGTTGCTCCAGTCGAAGATGGGACCACAGCCGTCACCAATGAGCTAAGGTGACATGTGAGTTTAACTGGACAGACTTTGTGGTACAAGGGGGGGTTGAGGGTTATGATGACTTACGTTGACGAGCAGACCAAAGGCGACAAACCAGAGGATGCTGAGGAAGATGTCCGTGGGCCAGTGGATGAAGCTTCCCGAGAAGGGGAGAAGCCATATCAAGGCGAAGAGAAGCGACAAACTGGCCACCACAATGGTGTAGATGTAACGGCCATTGTCCCACGATGATGTGTTTTGAGTTGCGTGGAGGTAAGCGCCGGTGATACCAGCCACAATACCTGCGAAAGCCAGCTGGGCTCCACGGAGGAGGAATTGCACAATACGGTCGATCGCCATCGTGGTGTGATTAGGTGTCGGTTTGTTTCTATAGGCTCGGAGGCTTTTGTGAGAGAGCTTGGAGAGGCTTGGGATGATGGGTTTGTCGCACGGGAAAAGTCTGCTGATCTGTCGTCCGGTGGGTGAAGAGGCAAAGCGGACGGAAAAGAGATGATAGTACTCTATTTATCAACCTCCCTTCAGGATAGGCCGAGAAACGTCGTGCGACACGAACCAGTAGGGGACAGTCACATCAGGATGACGACCCGGTAGGAAAGCAGGTTTGGTGGGCATGTCCTGGGCCTGCAGATTTCTCGTCACCGCCGAGCACAGCAGACGCGTCTGGATCACGGCTGGGATGTGCCGACACTTTTTGACTAAACCACTGGGCTTACCGTTTTGGCAAACGATACCCGGAAAGAAACCTTGGTCTAGGAAGGAATGTGTGACTACACACAAGTCCCGAGACTTTGCTGCAGGACGGGGGCGGTACACACGCAGAGACCCTGCCAAGAATACTTCCACGGCACCTAGCACCGCGAAGGAAAGGGAGGGAGGGAACAAGGGCGGACTGGCTAAAACGTCACCGAGTTGCGGCTTCGTGGCACGCTGTCGCGAGTCTGTTCATTTCTTCTCTGGCCCAGCCTTGTGAGGTCATCAGACCGGGGCGGTTATGGCCAGAGGTGTAGGCAATGCCAGGCCAGCATGGTTCTCATAGGATGTGGTTGTCTACCGCCCCAGTCTTGAGGTTTGAAACAAGCCTTTCCGGGGCCGCGATGCTTACGATCCTGGCCCTGCCCTGCAGGGAACACGTTTGGTAGCTGTTTGTCGAGCTTTCTGTAGACAGCCGTTGGGTTTTGGCTGGCGGTTAGGCTTGTTGGTGTAAGATTGGCGGAAATTCTATGCCAATGCGACGGCTCTCTGGGCAGAGAAAAGGAAATTGCAAGGCTACTTCGTGACAGGGCCGAGACCACTAGATCGAACAGGCCGTGTAGCAAGCACATCGCGGCTTGGACTCTAGGGAGAATTGAATCCAACCAGTGTGACCTCATCGGACGATTCAACTTGCTGGGATCATTCTGTGCCGTAGAATTCTCTCGGATTGAAATGCAAAAGAATGAGTAATACTTGCGCAACATCGGGATTTCGGCATCACTATTTGTGACTTACAAGAAGCCGCCCTCGAAATGGCTTGCGACGTGTGTGGCGATCGCTGTGGCTCAACAGGTTCCAGACTCTCCAGATCAGCAAGAAAATCAAGGCTGGGGGCCGTTTTGAGAGGCCGTCACGCGGCCAGCGCGGTGCAATATGTTTGGTCAGTGTGGCTGATGTACCCGCCCGTTATTTAGCACGTTGGAATGTCGTCGTCCAAGAGCGGAGTCCCGCAAGATGGCCTCACCGAAAAGGTGAGTGTGACGTCACGGTCACATCCAATATCCAGGGGGGTTAGTGTCTCGTCCAACCAGCTTCAGCCAGACCATCCAAAACGCCTCTCAAGCCTCACGAGCCGTCTCAATCCGCAAATGAGACCAATCTCTACTGCCTTAGCTCACGATGCCGGTCGCACATTGATGATTGACTCAGAGATATTGCGCTTGCTTCTTGGTCGCATCGTCTCGTCGCACCGGCTTTGCTAATCTTCATGCGGCCTTTGAGAGCGCTAACGATACTAGAATGCCTGTACCTACTTGGGGCGTTGGAGCTGGTTCCTTCGTCGTTCCGTAGGGCGAAGCGTCTGTCCGGCGATGGTCCTAGTTGCGAGATGGAGGGTTGCCGGCTCGATCTGGCGGTGAGCAGATCGCGGCCATGCATTCTATTGGTGATGTGGCGTTGTCCAAGACCAGAGAAGTAATCTTCTATGCCGAACTTGCCAGAGGAACTGAACTGGAGGGATCATCGTTGGTCCGATCGCCGAGAAGCCTTTCTCCAAGACGGGACGGAAGCAATTCGCAGGTGTGATCGTGGTGAAACTCGGCCGAGTCGGCAGTCGGCCCCGTCCGGCGATCTCGGCACTTTGTGGGTACAACATCGGCTCTTGCTCTGTGGGGGCCCTCGGTAACCCCACAAATTACCGGACCCGTCGTGTCTCACATGGTATGGAATCTGGGGTGCAGCTAAATCTGGGGTTCAATAGCCATCCAGTTACTCTGTGCACTGGTTGATTCAATTTCGAAAGAATTATTTATTGAGCTCAAGTTTCCCAGCACTTTTCACCGCTTGCTGAACATCCGAGTGTCTGAGATACGCCATCATGAAGCCTTCTACTTCGAACACTGGCTTTTTTCAAGAGCTGCCGGTTCTGCCGAACCAATTTTTTGATGATGCTAGCTTTCAACGAGCCTTGAGGCGTACGTAACTGGTGAATGTCTGTCGTCCCATGTTGCTGAACTTTCCTAGTATTCTTGCCAAAGGACATAATCGAGCGAGTCGAAGTCGATATTGCGCAGCTGGGTGAGGATGTGCTATCCGACCAAGTCTTCTCCTGGGTCACAGATTCAGAAAAGAACAAGCCATACCTGAAGGGCAACGGCCGAGATTCTTTCGGCCGACCAACATCTGAGCTAGTCGTCGGCGAAGGCTGGCGTAGCTTACAAGAGTTTGGTACCAAGAAGGGTATTGTCGCCACTGGATATGATAATTCACTAGGCTCTTCCGCCCGCGTGGTCCAGTTCCTCAGGATTCACTTGTGGGGAGGTTCGGCCTCGAACGTCAACTGCCCATCGGCTATGAAAGACGGTGCAGCTCGACTCTTGCAGCTCCTTCTCTCCGGGAACATGGAACCGATCCAACGAAGGGTATTAGAGAATGCACTTCAACACCTCTTGTCACGGGATCCAGCAAAGGCTTGGACTAGTGGGCAGTGGATGACTGAGCGGATCGGTGGGAGCGATGTGTCTCTCACCGAAACCGTGGCTGAACATATCCCATCCTCGGAAACAGCACTCGCCAATGCAGAGGAGAATATCCCCCTCGGACCGTGGTCCATCTCCGGATTCAAGTGGTTTTCCAGCGCTACCGACTCTGCCATGACTGTCCTCCTTGCGAGGACACAAAGCGGTATCAGTGCCTTCTTCGCCCCAATGAGACGACATGACCCTACCGCAGTAACAATGACTGGACGGACCAAGGGCGCCGCGGGGACTGAGTTGAATGGTGTTCGGATCCAAAGACTCAAAAACAAGTCTGGTACACAGTCGCTTCCCACGGCTGAGCTCGAGCTCGACAACATGCGAGGTTGGCTCTTGGGTCAAGAGGGACGCGGCATCAACGAGATAAGCACCGTCCTCACACTTACGCGCATCCACTCTGCTGTAAATGCTGTGGGGTACGTCGGTAGGGGGTTGGCTGTGGCGAGAGCCTATGCCAAAGTCAGACAAGTCGGCGCAGGACGAGGTCAACGGATGCTTCTGACAGAGAGTCCGCTTCACATGCAGACCCTGGCGGAGATGACTGGCGAGTATCATGGTTTAATGCTACTGACGTTTTTTACGGCGTACGTCTTGGGCTTGGATGAGAACCCTCAGGCGGGCAGATCCGGCCTATCGGATGCTCTCGCTGCGATCACACCAGACCAGAAACACATTGCGCCCTTGTTGCGCATCTTGACACCTCTCTGCAAGGCCTATGTCTGCAAGAAGTCGATCCCGCTGCTCTACAGCTGCATGGAGGCTCTTGGAGGTGTCGGGTACATGCTGAATGAAGAGACTGAGTACCTGAATATCGCCAGGCTGTACCGCGACTGTTGCGTTCTGTCGATCTGGGAAGGCACAACGGATGTCCTCGCTACCGACTTCTTGCGAGCGTTGAAACAACCCAAAGGCAGACAAGAGTCTGTAGATGCTCTGGATGCTTTCTTTGCCCAGACCACATTGGCGAAGGAGGTGGGAGACCCTGCTGCGTGGAGTCCGGTTAGCTCGTGGAACACAGTCAAAAACTCTCTGCTTGAAAAATCACAAGCGGATCTCATCGTTGATGCAAGACACATTCTCTGGGCCGTAGCGGAAGCGCTCATCGGCGTGCTGCTGCACGAAGACTATCAAAAAGATGAGAGCCAAGCAGCATTTGATGTTCTCTCTCGTCACCAAGCTCAGTGTGGTGGTGAGACCTATGGAAAATCGGCTCCGGGAATTAAGAGTGAGAGGCCGCTAGGAACGCACGATAGGTTGGACAGGAACTTTACCATTGTGTATGGCAGATCGGACTCCATCAAGGCGCCTCTGTCGAAGCTTTAGAACCCGCAGTTCATATGATGCATATATTATAGTTCAACATGTCATGTTTCAAGCCGTTTGAAAGGCATGAGTCGCTCGGGAATCTCACGTGGCGTATCGAAGTTTGTGATTTGGACGATAGTGAACCCGTCCGATCACACTAAGCCGATCCCATCGATCAGCAACGGAAGAGACAAAGCCGGGAAGCCGGGTTTGTATCTTCAGACGGCGGGCTTGAACCATTGAGCCAAAATCCTTGGAGGTTTCGCAGGCTACATACGTCTCCTCGTCATCGGGCTCGGGCCAGGAGTCAAGCAATAGGCGGACCTTACCTTATTCGTACGCAACAATACCACTCCCACGTTACTACTTGCGATTACAAAGGTCCGAGTGTCCTTAGCTCCAGGTCTTGGATCGCGTGCCAGCGGCAACAACGTGTCAATGACAAACGCACTACGGAGTAATTAGAGTTTCTATCCGGGCGCCCCCCGATTAGCATGCTTGAATCGGATTAGCAAGGAGCAATCCTTTGTCTACCCGCAAGACCCCCATGTTCATCGTCTTCGGCATGGGCTCCCCGGAGAGGGGTTTACCCGGACTGCAACAGTTCATTCTTCTTTATGTGTGAGAGGATACCCTTGGATTTCCTTTGGCCGTCGCATGTGGTGCCATTCCGCCTTTATTTGCTTCTCGCTTTTCCACCACAGCTCTCATTTGAATCCATCAAGCCAACATCGAGATGCGGATGCTCGCCACGACCGACACGAGATCATGTTGGAGCCAAGTCCAAATGTGCACTTGGAGAAAGACGGCAGCTATCTACCCGAAGTCTGGGTGAGCCGCTGTCATCAATCCAGTCTTTACTCGAGAGCCGGGGCTAACGATGGTCAATTCATGTTGGTAGGCGTGGTATGCGATAGGCGTCTTCATAATTCTTCTTCGACTTGCGGTTCGTATTCGCACCGTCGGAATTCGAGGCTTCCGCGGCGATGATTATTTGGCTTTGCCTGTGAGTCGCTGAAGGCGCGAAACCCCAGAGCAGGCGTTGATGTTGATGAATTGCAGTACCTCGCGTTGTACACCATCAATGTTTACATTGCTCAAATCTGCTATTTCACAGGAGCAAATATCGACATCACAGCGGATGCGGTACCATCGCTATCGGACCACGATGTGGCAGTCCTTCGGCTCGGATCCAAGTTGGAGTTCATGTCTTGGTATACATACCCAGGCTGTATCTGTAAGAGCTATCCCTCCCCTCCCGAGTAGACAAATTCTCTGACTTGGAATTCGCAGGGGTCTTGAAGTTCACCGTGTTGTTCTTCTACAAGCGTTTGACACTCGGAATCTTGCGGAGGCGGACTCTAGTCGCGTTGTTCTGGGTTTGTGGGTTGTCGTATATCGTCATGTGTCTAACTGTGACTTTCAGCTGCCAACCGTATGTGCCCCATGATTGCGCGGTCGCTTTCCTGACACTTGAACAGCTACTCCAACAACTGGCGGATCCGACCTCTACCTGGCCCCGAGTGCACCTTTCGGCCACAAAACTTCTGGGTACTAGTATGGCTCAACGTTGTGACGGACGCGGCACTACTTTCCATCCCCGTACCGATTCTCTGGCACCTCCGAGTGTCCCTCAGAAGAAAAGTCTGCGTCGGCATCTTGCTTTCGTCTGGCGTCTTTGTCATTTCGACCGCAATCGTTCGAGCGATAACGACGTTGGGCGGCGCACCGTCCGTCATCAACATCAACCGCTGGGGTTTCCGCGAGATCGCCGTCGGACTCATCACCGTCACCCTGCCGGTCCTGAGCCCGCTGTTCACGAGAGCGTTCTGGCGCCGCGGCCCGTACATCCGAAACTACTACGATCGGCTCCGCGGAGCAAGGACGTGTCCTAATAATGCCAGGTTTGGCAACTGGTTGGGGACGATGATCCTCAAGTACATTGATGAAGAAGAGGGAGATGTTCTGCAGCGCCCTAGCGCGGCGAAGCAGTTGCAAGAGGCGGGGCATCCAAGGGAGTTCGCCGAGCGAACAGCGTCTAATAACAATGGCAGCGAGGAAACCTATGAGCTGGGAACGAGGAGCGTTGACACGAGTACAACAAGCTTGAAAGACATTGGCACGCTATGAAGCTTTGTAAAACAAAGCGGTCGAAGAGCATTTTGGCGCTGGGTCGTTGAGGCATACCCCATCATGATAGCAAATGGATATATTGATACCCGGAAGCAGCAACAGGACGGATTGAAAACTGGAAAGGCATGGGGCAAGAGAAGTTGCTATGCTGATATGAGAATGAGATTATCATTGGAAAAGATCACTGAATTTTTTTAATAAAGACCACACCAACAATTGATGCGCGATGTAGACTGACTGCGAACCAATTCAGAAGTCAATAGCGCGTAACTTTCAACTTTTGCTGGCCAGACGTTTACAGTCTTTAGCTGCTCGTTGAGCCCCGGGGACTGGGAAATGAACACGCATGTTGCTTTCCGTCCCAGGAGAATGAAGGAAATTTCTTAGGCGACGGTCTCAGAGCCTCTTGAGACGTGTCATTCTACTCAACGTCTTTTTGTATTTGTGTGTGTGTGTGCTAGCCAGATTACACCAGTTACAGACTTGCAGGCTTTACCGTAGGGGATAGAGCCAACTTGAGCTGATTGGTGCAGCTGTAACGATGCTCCTTTGGTGCCATGACTCGAACGAACGTAGCATCAATTGCGAGGATGAGGAAAATACTCGCCGACAGTTCGGGTCTTCGCCGGTGGAATGGCCTCCGGGATGTTGGGTCCCGGTCGGAGTTGCGGGGTCAACTTGTGACTAAGGTATTCTCGTTTTGTAGCATATATCTTGTTGATCGACTTTGGACTTATCCAATTAAAGGGTACCGTGGCCTGAAAGAGGTAGTGACATCTCCGGTTTCATTCCCCCGCATCCTTCCATATCAGTGCTGCCTACCAGGTACCCAGGTCTGTGGCACCTGGAACCTTTACTAGGTACCTTATTCAGGTCGCGTCGCGTCACAAGAGACCCCCACCATCCACTATCCTCTCGCGCACCCATGCCAGCATGCCATCCATGCAATCACAACCACAATGGCCCGACCGGTCGAGCAAAACGCGATAGTGATATCAGATGGCGAGACAGTATCAGAAATTGACGAACCTCGACATTCAAGCAGCAAAACCCTTGGGAAACGAAAGGTTGATGTCGATTTTGAGGAGAAGGAAGTCTGGGATGCCGATTCCGATGTGGAGCTGCATAGGCCCAAGAAACAGAAGTGGCGGCGTGCTGCAACTGGAAAGGGGAAAAAAGACAAGTCGAAGGGCAAAGGGCGGCCGTCCAAGAAGAGCGGCGTTGTGAAGATCGACGACACAGAGGAAGAGGACGACCTCGACGTTGCGGAAGCGCCAGACTATCTGAAAGAACGAAGAAAACAGTTCGACCAGACCCGAGAAAGACTGCAGGAAGCGGGACTTTTGTTACCACCAGACTATTCCGACGTTGGCTTTCCCGAAGACGATCGACCACAGATCCTCGAGCGGCGTCCCCATTTCGACGAGGGCACCAAGATCAAGCCCTGCAGACCCTATGAAGATGTCGAGCTTGAGTACTCGGCAGGCATCATACCGGCTTCTATTGCCCAATACCTGCGCGAGTATCAGATCGTCGGCGTCAAGTTTCTGCACCGACTTTTCGTCTACCAAAGAGGAGGGATTCTTGGAGATGACATGGGCCTCGGAAAGACGGTTCAGGTCGCCACGTTCCTCACGGCAGCTTTCGGCAAGACTGCCGACGAGCGGGACAAGAAGCGTCTGAAGAAGATCCGCGACGTGTCAGGTCGTTGGTATCCGACAGTTTTAATCATTTGTCCCGGATCCATTATCGAGAATTGGAAGAACGAGTTGAATCGCTGGGGCTGGTGGAAGGTTGACGTTTTCCACGGCGCAGGGAAGGAGGATGTGCTGTCCGCTGCCAGAGCAGGCCGGATAGAGATCATGATCACAACCTACTCGACGTACAAGAACCACAAAAGCCTGGTCAACACTGTCAAGTGGGACGCGGTCGTCGCCGACGAGTGTCATCAAATGAAGGAAAGGAGCTCCGAAGTCACCAAAGCGATGAACGACGTGAACGCGCTTTGTCGCATCGGCTTGACGGGTACGGCGATCCAGAACAAGTACGAGGAACTGTGGACTCTCTTGAACTGGACCAACCCTGGCCACTTTGGCACGCTATCGGAGTGGAACACCACCATCACCAGACCTCTGACGCGGGGCCAGTCCCACGATGCGACCCTCAACCAATTGCGCGACGCCCGGACCACTGCGAGGAAGCTCGTTACGAACCTACTGCCAGGTTTCTTCTTGCGCAGGATGAAGACGCTGATCGCTCACCAGCTGCCCAAGAAGAGCGACCGAGTCGTCTTTTGCCCCCTCACAGATCAGCAGCAGGAGACGTACAAGAATTTCATCAGTAGGCCTGATGTCGAACTTCTGCGCACCCTATCTGACCCGTGTGAATGTGGCTCTGGCACCAGGCAAGGGTGGTGTTGTCGGAAGAAGCTGGACGACGGCACCGGATGGCAGTCCATCATATTCCCCTGCGTGACCACGTTGCAGAAACTGTCAAATCACCTCACTCTTCTGATTCCTGCTTCTGGAAACGAGCAAGATGACAAGCACAAGAGAGAAATGCGCACGCTTCAGACCTGCTGCCCAGACACGTGGGAATACCTCTACAAGAATCGCGATGCCATCATGAACCTGGCCAACCCAGAGTTCTGCGGTAAATGGAAGGTCTTGAAGAAGCTCCTCAAGTTTTGGCATGACAGCGGCGACAAAGTGTTGGTCTTCTCGCATAGCGTCCGCTTGCTTCGGATCCTGCAGCATCTGTTCCACAACACTAGCTACAGCGTCACATATCTGGACGGATCGGTCAGCTACGAGGATAGACAGAAGGCCGTGGATGATTTCAACTCTGACCCAACTCAATTTGTCTTCTTGATCTCGACCAAAGCCGGTGGCGTTGGTCTGAACATCACTTCGGCGAACAAAGTCGTCATTGTCGATCCTCACTGGAATCCCTCATATGATCTACAAGCCCAGGATCGAGCATACCGCATCGGCCAAGTTCGGGACGTTGATGTTTTCCGGCTAGTCTCTACCGGAACCATTGAGGAGATTGTCTACGCGAGACAGATCTACAAGCAGCAGCAGGCAAACATTGGCTATACAGCTTCATCCGAGCGTCGTTACTTCAAGGGTGTCCAGCAGGACTCCGAACGCAAAGGAGAGATCTTTGGATTGGAGAATCTCTTCACTTACCGGGAGAACCAGCTCGTGATCCGTGACATTGTCAACAAGACCAACATTGCAGAGGCGAAAGCCGGGACCGGCATTGCGATGACAAGTGTCGATATGGAGAAACTTGCCAAAGAGGAAGGTGAGGAGTTGGCTAAGGTGAAGCCAGAAGCTGCGGATTCAGCGGAAGACGGTGACATGGGCCAACTTGCCGCGTTTCTGGCCGCCAAGACTGGCGAAAAAGCAAATAATCAACAGGCCAAGAGTGATGCCGTCCAGGCCATCCTCTCCGCGGCGGGCGTCGAGTACACGCACGAAAACTCGGAAGTAGTCGGTACCTCCAAAATTGAGGAGCAGCTATCGCGCAAGGCAGAGATGGCCGCCAGCTCCGATATCGAGGGGGAAGGCGATAGCGCTCTATTCGCGGACAGTCAAGTGTTTGATGCGCAGGCGCAGAAGCTCAAGGGTTTCTCGTACGTCTACAACCCGCCAGAGGGCGCCATGAGACGGCAGTTCTGCTCCATGGCGCGCGAGTTTGGGTTCGCGAGCGCCACGGAGTTTGCGCTGGTCGTCGGCAGCTGGACGCAGGGGCAGAGGCGGAACTGCTTGGAAGCGTTTTACAAGATCCGCGAGGGCAAGCTGTTGGCGGAAGAGACTGTCAAAGCTGAGATGCAGGCGGAGGAGACGGCTGTGAAGGCGGAAGTGAAAGCTGAGGGGAAGGATGCGCCTGGTACTCGAGTCAAGATTGAGATGAAGAAGGAGAACGTGGTGATTGTCGATAGTAGTGCGGAGACGGAGGACGAGGACGAAGGTGTCAGGGAGCCCGAGGTCAAGAAGGAAGACGACACAGAGAAGAAGCCGGCGGTCAAGATCGAGAACGGCGGTGTTCTCAAGCGGACACCGATTTTCATCTACGACACTGACGAAGATACAGATGAACTTTGATGGCGTTTGGCAAAGCTATTAGATACCCCCGGCGTTAGGACTTTTTGGAGATTTCTATCAAGAGTTATAAAGATGGCTTCACAGCCTCAACATCCAGAGTACCGGTTACAAACCCCCATTTCTTGGTTACGCAAGAGGACCATGTTGAAGGTGTGTCCAGCTTGGAAAATTGAGAGGTCTCTCTGCTCGCCAAACTCCAGCTGTGATCAACTGAGCGCCAAAACAGTGAAATTGGATTTGAACCCGTCAAGACACGGAGATGGTTTGACAACATTTGCAAAAAACGAACACTCAGGAGAGGGAGGGGTAGGGAAAAAGCAAACTTTGGCCGCTTGACGATGTCTGTCACTTGGGAGCTGGCAAGAGAGTACTAAGAGCCGATTGTAGCTAGTATCTCCCGTCCATATCCATTGACAATATCAAACTCTCTGTTCCTACCTAGGCGAATACGAATTGGTCAAAATCGCAGCGACTCAGTGTCGCCCTCGTCGGTGGCGTCCTGAGCTGAAGACTGGCAACTTTGATGAGGTATAGTTGAGAGTCACTTCTATGTTGATAGATAGAGACACTGGGTTTCTGGGTTAGCCATAATCAACCCGCGAAGCTTTTCTCAAGTCGAAAAGGTGCATGCCTAGCCGTCTGAACAGGAGAAGTGGAAAGGAGCTTGAAGGATTGGTAAAGAAGGAGTTTGATGGGTGGTTTTCGGCTGCAAGGAAGATCGTTGGTGTGATGCGTCTTGAAAGGTGATCTGGCCATGAGCAGTTCGGTCCCAGCTGTCGGCTGGCTGGGACCTGGTTGCGTTGACGACCAGTGCAAGATTGGAATAAAAAACTACTGTGTGAAGTACGGTGTGTTTGAAACCAAGCGTGTAACGATGTCGGATAACTGGTGAATGTGTGATTGCTCATTACTTTCATGGCTTGATCAGGAGGCTGCTTTCTCATATACCCATCGAGATCAGCTGGATGCCTACCAGCAGGTCATCAAGAAGCGGCTGCATTCAAAGACGCTTAGAAAAAACTCGGGACATTTTTGACAATGAGCCGTATTATTGAAGCTGAGTTACTGTTTGGTTGGGTCAGGTGAGGTTTCTTGCCGTCCAGTGTGCGATCAATACCCCGGGTATTATATTTTCAATCCAGTCGTCGACGAAGACGTGTATCTAAAGAGGCCCCCCTTTCCTCATACCGTTATCCCCAAAGAATCTCGAGAGTGAGAAACCAAAATTTCTCATATAAAAAGCCAAAATGAATTGAGACACAGAACCATAAATGCAGCAGACGTCTTCCTTCTCCCGTCTTCATTAACCACCCCCCGCAATGCTCCATCTCACCACATCCATGGCACCCTCATCAAAACGCATCATCAACCCCCTTTGCCTTCTCAAGCGCCTTCCTCTCCCGGTTGAAATCGACCCACCACCGATGACTCTCCTCCGTGCCCGTCCACTCGCCCGTCACGGCATCAATCTCGTCCCACGGCTTGGGCGCCAGGATGTAATGCACATTCTTCACCTCCTCGTCCCTCCAAATCTCCCCGTGCACCCCCTCCCACCGCAGCGTCTTGAGCGCGTTATACACGTACGGCAGCGCCACCCACCGGCCCCGGTACAAGTCCGACAGCAAGCTCTGGTCCGCAAAGTCCATGTCCATGGCCCCTTGCTCCATGTGCTTTACAATCTGCGAAAACAGCTTCTCGGATGGGTTCACGACTTGCAGGCCGCCGTTCATGAAGCCCAAGGGGGAGGCAGTCACGGGGTCCGGGCCGGTGTGCTGCGCCGTGTCCGGATCACCGTGTTGCGTGGAAAAGGCGCAGTTCTTGGGGGTCCAGTCGGCAGGGTAGTGCGGCTTCTTGAGCGGGTTGCACACGCAGGCGTGGCCAGCGGCGAAGACGCGGGTGCTCGGGTTCTTGACGGCCAGGTCGTCGAGGGTCGGGCTCTTTGGGCTACCGCCGCCGATGGCGGCGCCGGGGGTCTGCTCGGCAGCAAAGTCGCCGTCGTCGAGCTCGAGCTCCATCAGCTCGTCCATGTTGCGCAGCACGAGCATGTCCGAGTCGAGCTGGACGACGCGGGCGTACTGCGTCAGGGAAAAGGGCGAGAGCTTGCTCCAGCAGTCGTAAAAGCGCGGGTCGTTGGAGTAGTCGCGACCCTTTGTCGGGAGGAGGTACTCGATGCGCTGGGCGGCGATGCCGCGACGCTCGAGGGCGGCCAGCCCTTCGGCAGGGAAGGTGTCTGTGTAGAGCGCGACGAGGGGGTAGGCCGAGCCGGACTTGACGAGGGAGTGGTGGAGGGTCAGGAGGCCTGAGAGGTAGTCGAGGTTGGTGATGAGCGTCGTCCAGACTGGGGTTTCGGGTTATGGTTAGCTTTGGTTCTCTTTCTTTTAGCAGGGGGGATTATTCATCGTTTGCGACAAATGCGACGGTAATGGGAGCAAGGGTTACTGGGAAAGCAAGTGAGGATGGGGGAAACAAAATGAGATAGTGTCTCGATCTGATAGTAGGTCTCGATAAGACAAAAGTGTAATGGCGCAAAAGAGAGGAAATACGAACCCTTGTCCGATTCTACGGCGCGTTTCCCGTCAGACATGTTGGCGGTGGTAGTAGCAGTAGTAGTGGTGGCGGTGGTGGTGGTGGTGATGATAGCCACGGTTGCGACTTTTGCCTCACTTTGAGAGAGACCTTATCTTTGCGACTGCTTGTTTGTCTGAATGCGCGCCGCGCGTGCGTGTGTGCGAACCTGGCGGGGCAGATTCCGGTGGTGGAGGCGGGGTAGATCTCGAGATAAAATGTTCGAATGACAAGCAGCTACCCAAGGGTTGTCGTTGTCAGAATCACCAGGATGTTTGTTGAGTTTGTCTCTGAGCTTCTCTGCACTATTGCGCGCGTCTTGCGTCGTTGGCGTCGTCAAGCTCCCTTGGTTATGCAAAGTAAAAGTATGAGGGAGGAATGAAGAAGGAGAGTGAGAGAGAGAGGGAGGGGAAGGGAAGGTAAGAGGAAGGATGGGAAAGGTGGGAAAGGGCATAAGACGATTCATGAAATTGGCATTTTACGGGAATGCAAAGTAGTGGTCATTGGCAGCTCCTGATTAGTTATTCCCAAAGGTACCTATTGGCTATCCGTACATACTACAAAGTAACAAAGCGAACAAAATAATAGCCCCGAATGGACCACGAGTCATCCTCACGATGTGGTATTGGACCGCAAATGAGAACTTTTTGCCAGAATAGGCATACCCCTCCACCATTCACCGAGCCTCTCCTGGTCCTGGGCTTCCTGGCATAGCTAGGCTGAAGCGGGTTCAAGGAGAGAAATCGCTGATAACCAGCGACTGAATCCGATCGGCCGGCGTATCGATGACGCCATCATTGTTTGGAAAATTGGGCGCTCGAAGAAAGTGCCTCGTCCGGTAGGTATCCGTAATTTGGGATAAGACATAAGCGACAGGATTACAAAACAAAACGGATCCCCTCCATGAAAATATAGTGAAAGTACGGATCGAGCGGGCCGGAGAGAGTCGGACTTACTCCTCTTTACCCTCCGCTTGACCTGAACGCCGTCTGGGTGGTCAGAGAGGGTGGTTGGTGTGTACGTTGTTGCTAATAGTGGTGGTGAGACAGGGCCGGGTTACGAACGTGCGTGTAGGTAAGGAAGGTAGTTGCGCCGAATAACCTTATCGTCTAAATTATGGCGTGGATTGACATGGCACGATAAGATTTTGCCCCTGTTCGAAAAAGAGGGGCGTTTTTCACCCTGTCGTGTCCCATTCCCTGGCGCAGAAATAAACAAATGCGGTAACTGACCATAGAGTTCATTCCTGCATCTGACACCTCTAACCTAATGCAACTACGTTTCCTTCCCAGGCACTGTGGCACCTCAACAAGTTGCAACTTTGTCTGCCTTATTTTCAGCAGGTGTCCCCGAGCCAATTATTCATGTGTCCTCGGTTGCTGCTTAGCCACCCACTGCTCTGGTTTCCCGACATACCGTGTTGAGGACGCTGCTCTTCTCTTCCAACGCTAGAATACGGTCAGAGCTCCCACGTCGCAAACGAGCTTCGGGAAGTACCAAATCCTTGCAGTGAGCTTCGTCAGACGTCAACTCGCAGTAGATCGGACGGCGCGACCAATCATGGAACTCGACGACGGCCGTTGACGTGCTCGATCCAGGCCACCATTGCATGCGCGCGCGCGAGAGCGAGGCGCATTTGCTGGTGCCCATCTGGATCGGTACCCCTCCTCGAGTGGAGACATCGGCTTCCGAGATTCCAGCGCAAAAAAATCCGAGAATCGTCGCGGTGATTATCTCCCGTTCGTGAGACTCGCGCTTTGCATACGTGAAATACCCGAAAATCAACTTCATCTCACAAACAACGTTTCAATCACCATTAAATTGTTAGTGCCGTACGGGCTATAATGGTTCACAGGACAGTCTATGACTCTCTTTTGGCTCGAGCTGCCCTCCAAAAATCAGAAAACCTTTGCCTTCCCAGTTCCCCACGATCCCCGACCGAGTCAATTAAAAAAAAGAAAAAAAAGGAAAAAAAGGTCCAAATTGATGACCAATTACTAAACATCGGCCTGTTTGTGAACAAAATGAATCCTCCTTCGCCAGTCTATGATGCGGTCTCATGCGGTCGTATCGGAATTGTCATTGACGATAATGCCGTTGTCAAATCAAATGAACAGTGAAAAAAAGACAAGGTCCCGAATGGCTTATTCCTGGTATCTGGCGTATGTCGTGCGTAAACAAGGCTTCGAGAATGTCTTCGAGAAAGAATTCGCATGCATTTCAGTGCCTTTTGTATTTCTGTATCAAAGAGTTAGCAAAATTGGCCTCACAAGATACGGCTGGCATCGGGTTACTCACCTCCTCGGCCCTCCGCCTGTTCTGCGGGTCCAGACTGTTTGTCGCGCCCATAAGCGTCTGTCCGATGACCTTGGTAGCTCCAATGGCCGGTCGGAAAATAATGGTAGGTGCCCGCTTCAGCACTGCCTTTGCGAGACCCTGAGCGCTCTGGCTATCCATCACCTCGCCTGGAACCGCAATGATGGCATCGCGGGCCATGTTCAAGTCTCTCGTCAAGCTTGAGTAGCCGCCACGCAGCCCCTGAATGACACCGGTGGGTTGATCAGCGTACAGGGAGATCTGCTTCTTCTCTTCTGGATCGAGATCAGCCTCTTCCCAAGTGTTGTCAGTCTGAGGCTTGCTGAGCAAGCCCTCGGCGCCCTGCAGCGCATATTGCGTTCCGATTGCTAGTTTGGCTCCGAATTTAACCATTTCTGTGCCGGTGGTGCGAGCAAATGCCGCTGCGCCCTTTCCGATGCTTCGAACGATGCGTCCGTCCTTCTTGTATTCCTTGATGGGGACCTCGATGAGCTCCTTGAATCCACTGCCGATATTAACAATGCCCCTCACTGGCGCGAGACCAGCAAGGACTCCAGCTAACTGAGTGCCCTTGACATCCGGCATCCAGATGTCATTGAGGATCTTGCCCATTCTGTCAAATCCCGAAACACCATAGATGATGGTGTGTCTCAGAGTCAGACGTGCTTCGTCCAAGATGATGAAGTTCATAAACTCCGTGGTTCGTCCCGACTTGAGGCCTGCATAGTCAACTCGCTTGGGTTTGAAATCCAACTTGACAGGGATGTCGTGAACCTCGACTCTCTGGAGGAACGGTACATCGCTCGTTGAGCTGTGGACGGGAGCGCTGTCATCCTTGAACTCAAAGAATCTCGTAATGAAATCAAGCGCATCTTGATCGACATGAAGTCGAAGTGGCAACAAAGTGACTCTCAAAACCATCTCCGAAGCCGCCAGATCTGGTTGCGGCTTGACGGTGAGCAGTTCGAGATGAGCCATGCTGGTGCCCATCTCTCGCTCGCCAGCGTCTTGGTCATACGTTGCAAACTTCTTCCAAGTCGAGGTTGGAACGTGATCAAATACATCCAGGGTCTGGACCCGAATGTCAATGGAACTTTGAGTCTCCCCAGAATCAGGCGGGAACGCAATAAGATCCACATTGACCCCCTGTAGTTCAAATGTAATCTTGTGGTGCTTGCTCCGGTTCAGTCTCAATCTCTTCTTAGGCCTGGCTGCTCCCGTTCGACCGGTTGTCGTCGTGAAAGCTGTTGTTGCAAGAGACTCGGTCTCTGTGGCGTTGTCATTCAACTCTTGGTTGACCATCTGAGCGAGTTCTCGAGGGTCTTGCTTCGAAGAGATACCGATATAAATCGAGTTGAAGAGGAAGTCACCAATCACCGTCTCATCTTCCTCCGCGTCGTCCTCGAAGACAGCACGCTCTGATCTGCGGCGACGTTCGTAGGCCTTGTCCTCGACATCTCGCACAGCCCTCGATATGACATCGCGCGTGCGCTCCCAGTCGTATCCGTCGAACAAATTCCAGATGACGTGCACATCGCGGACCGAAACTCGGAGTGGGCTTCTCTTGACTAGCTCCTTCGGTGCTCTGTCATAGCTATTCTTGGACGAGTTCCAGACCTGGGCTCTACCGTCGGTCTCGGGTCCCTTGTTGAAGAAGTTCTCGTGTATCACCAGGTCACTGCCATCATCAGAGTGGTGTGATGCACTTGCGTTGAAGCTGGTCAGCAACACCCCATCATGTGTATCTTGAGTCGTCGTAGCGTTCGATGTAATGGAGCCCTCTGCGTCAAAAAGGGGCTCCGAAGGGCCGGCGTCCTCGTAGTAACGTGAGTCGATCTGTAACGGGCTGCCATCGCTTGACACATCATATTCATCACTGCCGCCCATCTCCTGAGCGAGTTCGAAGTCTTTGTCAAAATCATAATCGCCCTCTGCTCTGCCAAAGGCTTCGGCAGAAATAGAAGCCAAGAGGTCCTGTACAGGAACAACTGAGGTGCGGTACTTGTTCTCCTTGCTAGGGGGAGTAGGCGGCGTCAGTGCATTGGCCAAGGTGATGAGAGTTTGGGTCGAATCGGCGCATGTCTCTAGCACGAGTAAATCATCACGGAGTTCGACATCGACAAGTTTTTCACCATCGTCACGACTTTCCGACACTGTGACAACTGCCTTTGCAGATGAGATGTAGCAGATGCTCACGAAGCCTTGGGAAACGAGTTGTGAGACTTGTTGGGAAGACGTGTCCGCCGACTGCCGACGATTTACGGTAGAGCTCGCTCCTATGTTAGTGATATCGTCAATGAGCAGGATCGAGGCCTTATTGAGGTCCAGCTTGGCCGTGGTATCCACGTCTTTTGGAAGAGCCACTTGAAGCCGAGCGTCAGTCAGGGCGATGAGGAGCTTCGAGGGCAGTCCCAGTGGGTTTAGACCGATCAAGCAATCGCGGAAAACCAAGTCGACCGTCATAGGCTTACTATTGGGTCGAGCAGGGTCAGTCATACGAACTGGTTGAGGGCTTTTGCCCGCCAAGGCAGAGTGTGCTTGTTCGCCGAGATTGGCCACAGAAGCGGCAAGGCTGGCTTCAAAATCTTGTGGTGTAGCATCTTCCGCTAGTCCAAGGACGTCCATTATCGTCGGCACTCGATAGTCGACTGTGATATCGCGCATCTTGATTTTGATCACCGGCTCCATCTCGTCTCCAATCATGCGGACCATAAGCACAGGGCCTTGGGTGAGCGTTCCGGGCGGCAATGTTGTTGAGGAGCTCACGAGGTCCTCTCGATGATTGCGATTCACAGAGATGGCGTGAACGCCGAATGCCACTAACGAGGGCACTGTGATCTGGGCGACTTCGAAGTTCTTTAGGTTCGCATTGATTATGCCAAGCTTGCCGCCCAAGTCGAGAACCGCTCCAAGCTCCTTGACTTCAGCCAGAAGGAGGATGCCGGGCCTATCGTCTTCTGGGAGATACTTTGCGACGGTTGCTAGTCGAGCAACCTCTTCGCCCAGCGCGGGGAGGCAATTCAGTTGATGTATGCGATCGACCCTCACGTTCAATTGGTCGAAAGTCACCCGTAGTACCCCGCCCTTGCGCCTTTGTCGGAGGAGTGTGTCCACCATGATTTCATCATCGCCCTGGTCGAACTTGACCTTGGACGGGATGATGAGTTCGAGAAGCCTTTCAAGGTCCTTGTCTTTCGGCGTCGCAAGATACTCGAAGCGTACACCTCCAATCTCGGCAGAAATGGGCGGTTCTCCTCGGGAATTCCTTATATATGGCCCTGCTAAGCGAACTTTGCTGATCGCAAAACCGATTCCCAAATCTCGGCTTACCATCTTGACCGCACTCGTCTCCAAACCAACGCTACACTCTCTGCCCTTCAGTTCGAGATTGAAGCCTCCTATTCGCATATCAATCTTGTTTTCTGCCGAGGCTGACTTGTCGTCCGGGTTGATTGGGGCGTCAAATCGAACCCCTCGGGACTTTGGAGGTGGTTGTACCGGCACTCTGACGGATGGCGAAGCGCTCGACGACATTGAGGAGCTCATGTTAAGGAAACTGCTCAGGCCGCCGAACCAACTGAATGTTTCATCCAGCCTTTGCAAATCAAGTTGTATCAGCAGTGGTAAGGTGGTTACTTCAGTCCGAATTGAGTCGGACGACTTGATCACCTTCACGGTCACGTCGGAGCCGGCTGAAGGAAACTTGTCCATGACGGAAGCCCTCATCTGAAGGCTTTGGTCGAACGAGATAATATCGTCCCGTGCGTACCCGAAGCGGAACTTTTCGAGATCCACAATTGTTTCAAGGCCCCTCTGCGAATTCTTGAGCAATATGTTGAGTTTATGAAGATCCGTTCGGAGGAGAATCTCGGGTTGCATCTGCAACCCGGGAGAGCCCAAAATTCTCTCTGCTGTATCGGCAACGCCGCCAAGTTGATGGAGAAAGTGGAGTGAAATTTTTTCAAACATGACTTTGATATCGGGCAATATCGACTCTTGCTGTGGCTTTGCAGCCGTCTTTGGAGCAGGAGCGGGAGTGTCTCTACTTTTCAACGCATCCAACAGCTTTCCAGCCACAACCGCGAGGAGATACGCCAGAGAAGCATCGAAGCGCACCTCCAAGGGTGACAGTAGAACTTCCAGCGTCCCATCATTGTCTGGCTCGGTAAAGGGGATAGGGGTTGGTGTTGGCGCAAAACTCGGTCTCGATGCTGGTGAAGGAGAATACACGGAGAACGCTCCGGGAAGTTGAGGCCCAACTGATCTCGCCAAGCTGGATGATCCTGGTGTTTGGCTCAGAACTGATGCTTGAGCATCGGCAGCCACATTTACATGCTGATGCAGCGAAGGAACGTATAGGGAAATGTTTTGTAGAGAAACAAGTTCCTTGACCAGTCTCGTCGGCCCTCTTGGGGTTGCCACATCGTCTGCCGGTGCTGGCGCATCCGCGACCTCATCCCTTGACAAACTCGTCGACGGTAGCCCCTTCGCATCTTCGAATCCAGTATCAGTCTGATCTGTCGTAGATGGCGACGGCGACTTCTGCGATTCCGGTGCATCCAAATTGTCACGAGTTTCTGGCTCGGGAATACTCGAGACTGTTTCAAACGCTGGCGGAGTTTGCTGTCTTGGCACGGGACTCGCCTTCTTGACCTTGGGAGAAGCTTCTGGGCTCGAATCCGCTTCCCATCCTCCCGGCATTCGTGACCCAGTCGGCTCAGCCTGGGAAAAGGCGCTCATGTACATACTCTCGGCTTCCTCGTGGGTGAACACGTGAGATTGCGCCAGATCATCGACCTCGGCAGAATCCGAGCTGTGAGAAGCTGCCATAGGCTGTCGCAATGCTTCAGGAGATCCAAAATCACCGGTCTCATTCAAAATGCTATGGTCCGCTGATTGTAGCGACGGCTCTGACCTCGCTTCTCTTTGGAAACTGGCCCATGGGGCAACTTCGTCTTCGTCTCCTTGGATTGTAGACTGTGATAGCGGGACCTGTCTTCGAGGAGAAAAATCTTGATATATCGAGGCCCTGGGTGTCGTCGGTTCCTCCTCCTCTACTTGTTCCTCTGGTTGACTTGAGAAGTCGTACGGAATATTAAACGCATCTTCGCTGTCCTGTAACAATGCATCGTCAACCTCTGACAAGTCTGCTGAATCGGACAGAAAGCTCTCATGCATGGTCGGTCGGAAGGTGCTATGTCTTGATGCTGACGTGCGCTCGCTGAATGACGGTGATTGGGAGACGGATGGGGACGAAACGGACGGGGAGCGCGCAAACTGCGAGAAGACGGTTGCCTCCGAAATCAAACAGGCCCGGATTGTTGATAGCGCAATGTGCCTCTTCCCATCTTTCGGCACGATCGTCGGCGCACCCTCGTCGTTGTGTGCCTCCGCGGTAACGCCTTCGACATCTATGCGATCCAACGCGAGCTGGAAAGTGACTAGCTCCGGCGATGTCGAGTTTGGCTCGAGGGGAACTTCGACGTCTAGTTGAAATGTGACCCCACGGATGCGGACCTGGATGCGGTCGACGATGCCCTGGAGGAATGCGGCCAGGAATCCCGGCAGGGACATTGGCTGCCCTGTACCGAACTGACTTCCGTCGTCACTCATCGAACTTTCGCTCATCGTGGAACCGCCGAGATCCTGTGTTTCGGCTGCGAGAGCGTCCTCTAGTCTCCTCTTTTCCTCCGCAAGCTTAGTGTCTTTCAGCGCCGCATCTTCATTCAGGAATGACTGCGCAAGGTTGACCGTATTCGGTAGGCCCTGGGTAATGTCACTCTTCGTCGCCGCCGCATGTGCTATCTTGGCCTTTTTATCTTCGCCGATGGTGGACACTTTCAACCGGACATCAACCCCATCGATCTCGATGATTATAGGGCTCGTGTAGAAGTCGACAGGAATGGTGACGTTGAGTTTCAGCACTTTAGCTTTCTGGATCTGGAAGGAAGCGGGTAGCTGGAGAAGTCGTTCGAGTTTCTAGAGGTTTGCAGAGTCTTGTTAGTCCTCCGACTTGGCCATGGCCCGAAATCAACCGGCCGACTGCGATACAGAACGTACCTTGAGGCGCACTCCAACATCCTTGAATTCGGCCGTGGTGGTCCTGCCCAGCGCAAACTGCAGGTTTTCCATGTCCAGCGTCTCCTCATCCAGCAGCTCCAGGCGCCGCAAGGCGTAGATGAGGAGGCGCTTCGACAGGGTTGAGCTTCTGAGGCTCTGAAATATCGTCGCCATTGTGAGCTCGGTGCTCCCAACCTTCGGTGGTTGCTCGGTTGGAGGGAGAAGAGCGACGGCGTTGGTTTATCGATCGACTCGGAACGTCTAGAAGGAGTATGGTAGGAAGAGGATGGTCTCGAAGGTACAGTAGGCTGGCCCAGATGTAGTCCTCAGGCGGCAGGAACGAGTAAGCTGCTCTGATCTCCAAGCGAATCTGGGGGCAATATGCTACGGTTCACCGGGCATGGATGATGCAGGCTGCAGTCGACGTGTAATCAGAAGACACCCTGCCCGAGGCGGGGACGTTGTTCATGGTGTGCTGGTAATCCAGAGGGAAGTTTCGTTACCAGGGAGGTTGAGATGTCGAAATAGACTGTGGATGAAGTTGAGACGGCAAGTGAGGAGGCAAAGGCCGACAGGGGCCGGAGAGGTGGAATCAAAGAGGTCGGGGATGTACGAAGAAAAGAGAAGCAAGAAGTGTAATTCAAGTTGGGACCCAAGCGCCTTAGTTGGGCAGAGGCAAATGTAGATTGCCCGAGAAGGGTAAGGTTCAGGAGCAGACCCTGTTGTGCTTTTGGACAGCGGCAGCGGTGGTGGTGAAGGAAAGGCAATCTAAGGCAGATAGGTCACTGCTACCCGGACGTTGTAATGAAGCCAGCCAGGACTAAGGTAGACCGCAGCCGGAAACACGGGAGGCAAAGAAGGTCTACCAGACGAGAGCATGAGCATGAGGAGGTGGAAAGGCGGGACACAGGCATCCAGGTCACTCACTCCTGGCCAAGCAAATGCACTAAAGATTGGTCCCCCCACTGCCTCTAACAGCGCGTGACTCTGGTCGAGTTCACGTCACCGTCACCGACAGGGTTGAGCAGGGGTCTCTATCAGTTGACTTGCTCCAAAAAGGCCTTTATCGATAAGGTGGGCAAGAGGGGAGGAATGACCGTGGCTGAAGCCGATGGGACGGTTTGATGTTGGGCACTTGGGAGGGGAAGGGGTGAGGGGCTGCATCACTTGTGACTGAGGAATGTCCCTCCCTGGTGGTGCAATGAGCCGTGCGTCCGTTCCACCTGATTGATGCAGAACCCGCAACGCAACGCCTTGTTGCCCTTATTGCTTGACGCCTCGGTACGTACCTCTTTCTCTTTGTCTTATCTCCAACACCAACCATGAAGGCGAAGAGACTGCCCTGGACAATGGAATACTACCTAACATTGCTACAGACTTCATCTACTGAAATGTTCCTAGGGCTGCTGGGGCTCGTTCTTTCTATGCGGATGAGATGGCGAAATGTCTCGTAAGCCCTTCAATCCCTTATAGTGGCATGGCAAATTTACTTTGCCCGGTAGTCCTTAGATAGAAATGGTTCAACCAGTGTTGGGGTTGTGCTAGCAAACTGCATAGGTGCAGGATTGTCTTTCTCTCAGAAACCCATATTTTACATGCGACTGTCATGAGAGATGATCGAACCCACATTCCGCAGTGAATTGTCGTGTGTCTCACCCAATTTCAACACAAACCCTGGAACGGTACTCGGGTCAAAAAGTAAATACCAATCACCAAAGGCAAAGGCGCCCTTTCTGGTCAGTGTCTCCCACTTGAAAGAGCGTTTCATATCAGTCTATGCCGTCTAAGTGATGAGGTTTCAGGGCATCAGTGCCTGCATATCATTCAGATGTGGTCTCTATCCAACTCAAAGTGTGGGGCAATGCATGAAACCAGTATTGACTTGTGTTGGCTTATCCCCTTGAAAATATAATAATTGTAAATAATCGTTGAAGAATCAAATGACGGCCGTCACCATTGCGCCCATCTACAACAAAGAGAACGCAACAAAAAGCCCCCCCAGCAGAGGCTCTGGCCAGTCAATGCTGAAACGCAAGATATCTATCACTCCGTTGCCTGCCAACCAAGTCGTTGCCGTACAAATCGCCCACCCAGCCACCACATCAAGGCTGGGCAAGAGACGGCTCCGTCCGCTTGGCGTCAATAATAGCGACAATTAGTCTCCCAGCTACTGGCCATCCTCTGAAACCTTGCTGCTCGCCCGCCCGTGGGACTCGGCAACCCTTCGGCCGACACTCTCACCGCTCCAGTAGGCTCCCGTCGCCGTCCCTAGCGCCACGAACGGCGCCGTATGTTCGCCCGCCAGCCACAGACCGCCTTCCGGTACGCCTTCCCGCATCGCTTCAATGTCCTTGTCGCCCTCCAACAGCCCGGTTGGGAAATTGCTGTAGCTGCCATTGCCGGCCAGGTCATCACGCAGCCAGTCCGTCGACAGGCTCCCCGTCGGCTTGCAATCAGGTGACGTCTCGTCGTAATGTGGCAGGCGGGAGTAGTAAGGCTTGAAGAAATCGTACAAAAAGTTGTTTCTCTCCGGGATGGTTTTCAGCCTTGCCACTCCTTCGGTGATGTACTTTGACTCGTCTCCGAAAATGTAGAACAGAAGGGTTGGGTGCGAGTGCTCGCCCATCGAGGCAAGATCGACAATCTCCTGATTCCATCCCTTCGGATTGGTATCTCCAGCATATTTCGGTGCAAGCCACTGACAGAAGCCTTGCACCACTCGGCCCTCTGCGTCGGGCTCGAGCCAAAATGCTTTTGGGAAACTGATGTACACTTTTTCCAGGCACCCGAATCCAATGGCCTGAATTCCACGCTCGATTCTCTCAGGCAACGGTGGTTCAAATGCTTGCAGATTCTTCTTCAGCCAGCCCAGGGGTGCTGTCATGACGACGTCGTCAAACTCCAAGACCTCACCAGTGTTGGTGTGAACTCTCGGTTTTGGACGTTCGGATGTCTTGAGCTCCACCTTGGTGACAATAGTGTCGTACTTGATATCCGCATTGTGCCTTACGGGCTCCGCAACTCGCTCAAAGATCTTTTCGTACGTGCCGGCGCAGAACAGATTTTCTTCAACAAGTCAGCCACAGCCTACACCATGGCGAGCCGTTTAGGCGTGCGGGACCTATGATCAAGAAAGACTTACCTCCGTCTATGCATTCCTCGAGCCAGAAGAACTTGAGACTTTGGGTTGCGATTGGACTTCCGGAAAAGGCGCCCCAAAGCTCTGCAATCTGGAGAACAGTTTTTCGGTTTTCAGCATAATTTTCCTCGGTGTCGGGGATTTTCTCGAGCACCCTTTCCAGGAAAAAGTCCCAGAGACTTTCGTCGGGATGTATACTGGCCGTGTTCTTGTTCGAGTGCTGGAAGGCGTCCTGGACAATGTCCCACATGATGCTCGAATAGATTTCGCTCTCGTCCAGCTTGAAAAGGTTTCCCGACTCATCGAATACGTATGACCTGTGATCCCAACTGCCAACGGCAGTACCAGTCTCTTTGGCCAAATCATTGATGGGATTGTCGTCCGTGCCATGTATCCAATTTGGGCCGAGGTCTACAGTGTGGCCATTGGGCAGCGTTTCCTGGAACATACGCCCCCCCAGCCGTTCTCGGCCTTCGATGATGGTCACCAATAAGCCATGTTGGATCAGGATGTCAGCGCAGCGCAGCCCGGCGAGGCCAGCACCGATAACGGCAATATGAGGTTTTGGGCCCGACTCTGATTGTTTGCGCTATGAGGTGTCAGGAGCAAACCGCTCGAACGAACATGACATGTGGCTTTCATCTTGTACACTGAGATGGATATATATCACAGGTACGGTTATGGGCATCGGACGGGTTCAACCATCAGAGATAGTCGGTGGCCCCGGCCCGAAGCGTCCCGCTAAGAACATTGGGCACGTGGTTGACAAGAAGCAGACTTACCCGCAGAAGTGAGTCCATTGTCAGCGATCTGAACAGCAGCTTTTCTTGGCCGGTCCCAAAAAGGCTCTGGGCTCGGCAGGACTCTAGATCCTGGTAAATACGGGATGTACTCCGGTTGGCAGGGCTGGTACAAGAAACTGAGTAAGCGTCCATGGCAGCAAGTATCCAAGAAAAGGCAGAGAAAGAGAGAGGAGATGGCTGTAGAGTTTGACAATCTGGTCACGGAAGTTGATTAATGGGCAGGACGCGGGCTAACTAGGCCGCAACGCCACCGGTCGGATGCTAATCCACAGAGGAAACAAATGAAGTCACAGGATACGGGCCTGGATCTGGGCGAACCCCAGACTATGTGAGACAGAGAAAAGAAGATACTACAGTCTTGAGGGTTGGGAGAAGAGGTCAGGCGGAGGGGGTAGCGGAGCGAATGCGGGGATGGAACGGAAGGGGGGGGGGGGGGGGGGGGGGGGGGGGGGGGGGGGGGGGGGGGGGGGGGGGGGGGGGGGGGGGGGGGGGGGGGGGGGGGGAGCTGGTGAAATATCTTGCTCGCAGCGGCAAAGACGTTTTGGTTGGGATACAGTATAGTAAAGATAATATGTAAGGCAAGACCCGTCGATCTGGGTGCATCGGCCGGGAAGGGTAAGCGCGACAAAAGTCCAGATAAGGTGTGGTGAAGGGAACCAGCTCCCCATGTTTGATGACGGAAGTGCAAGTTGCAGGGGGAAGGGCAGCATTCTTGATTGAGCCAAGGCGTGCGCCACGTAGTACCATTGGAGGAGAGGTAAGGTAATTAAATGACCTTGCGCAGCCGAAAAGGTTGGAAAGAGCCATGAAGGGTGTGCATCGGAAGGATAATGTGGCGCAAGGAAGAAACTGGGGACATATTTGCCAATCCAGATTTTGCAGCTTGCCAAAACCACATGGACCTTTTTATCCGACGGAGGGTGCCATGCTGATGCCGTACAATACCCAGTAACTCCCAATTACACGCATCATTTCTCCCCTCTTCAAGGCGTTGTTGACAAGAAGAAGTACTCGGGGCTCTCGCCGACTGGGCGGGGGCGCCAATGGCTGGGGGGCCGGCGCCGTTGTGCTCCGACAGGACGCCTCTGCTCATTTGGCTCAACCTCTAATTGAGCCACCCGCACGTGGAACGTAATGACGTTCGGCTGGTTCAGAGGCGCCATTGCTCTTGCGACTTCCCGGGAAGGAGGGGTTGGCCGTCGACTGTGCCAATCCTTTGGCAGACGACGCAGGGCATATTCGTGTTTGTGTAACGGGGAAACGAGGGGTGGCAAAGAGACAAGTAGGAGACTGGACTGAGGAAGCTGAGAGACCGAAAGAGAAAAGAAGGAGAGCATCGGCATCGACGGCGACAACTTACCATGCAATGCGCGATCGGGCGGGGGAGACTGCACGCGCGCTAAGCCTCGATATCATCCGGGATAACGAAGGAAAGAGGTAGAGAAGAACGAGGGACGCGGGCGTAGACGTAAACGCAGACGCAGACGCAGACGATAAACACCCAGGAAGGACTGAGGTCCGGCTGGAAGAAGGGGACGACGAGGTTGGTGTTGCTGCTGGTTGTTTGGTTCCGAGTTGGATTTCGGTGAACTGCAGCTCCCGTCATGAAATTTTTGGCAGTGAACCGGGCGTTCAGGGTCCCCAATTGCCAGGAAAGGGCGGGAGCGGATAATGAAAGTTGTGCTGTGTGTGCCCAAGACGGAGCGGTGCGGTGGAACCTCGCAAGACGACGGGCTTGGGCCTTGGATGCGTCGTGAGAAAAGGCCCTACTTCCTACCTTATTTGCAGACTTCACCTGGGCACGGAGTATTCGGGGTATTCGTAGGTACCTACCTTCCTGGATGGTCCGCACAGAGTGTACAGACGGATACCAGAAAATGCAGCAACGACCCTGGTGGAACTCGACGAGAGGAAGGAGGGGCACTTCACTGCTCCTTCTCCACCAACAGCGTCATTCCTCCACCTTAATCTCCATCCAACTCTCTCCGCTCCTTTTTTCCATGCTCTTCACTTCCCTCTCGCCGACTGACAGTCTGACACACGTCCCGTTATGCCCACCCTGTCACGATGCCAGCCAACTAACTCGATGCTCTGCCAGGAAACGCACTGAAACTGCAAAGAAGAGGAGCCGACGATACCCTCAAGCTTGCCTACGTGCCCTGACAGCAACCAAATGCCAAGTGCCAGTATCCAGCCTACTGCAGCTTTTCCTCACAGGAGCCACACTTGACGAGATGCTGATAGGTCCTTTTACACGCCCAATCGGGCCTTGCTGACGCGACTACGACGAAATGCTGCCGATCATGCCATCTTCCTCTTGCCAATCTCGTCTCCCACTTGCCGGGCCCTACCAGACAGAGCCTCATCCCAAGGTTACGATGGCTCCACGATCATCACTCATCCTCCTCCTCGTTCTGCTAGCGCATATCGGCGTTGGCAAGTCGCAGGATGACAGCCAGCCAGTCCGGGCCCCATCATCCGCCAACGCCTCTGAGAATCACCTATCATGGCAATCCGCCTTTTGGGCACTCCTTGCCCTCGCCCTCAACACGGCAACCCAACCATGCGGGCAGATATGCGGTTTACCCTCGGAATGGGGCTTTGTCCTCAGGTGGTCGCCGGTTGTTTGCATCATAAACTCATTGGAAGCCCTCAGCTGCCTTCGCCTCCACCGCCGCGACTCTAAATTGACTCTGGTCGTCGCACCGCACAAATACGACACGGGAATGGATAGCTCGAACAGTGACGTGGCCAACCTGCAGCGCAACACATTGGTCCGTATTGTCGCTTTTATACTAGGCCCTTTATTGCAAGCCGCCAAGTTATACGCTTGCCAAGGCATCTTCTGGGTTCAGGTTCTAGCAACGATATATCTCGCCAGCTTCCTCTGCGACGAGTTGTTGCTCGGTCTCCTGTGGGTAGCCGGATCCGCCGGGGGCCGGAACAGAGTGACCGGGCTGGTCGAAGCTGTGGCGGGGAGCCTACTCCGCCCTCCGGCCCACATCCCGCAGCTTAGACTTGAGGCGGCTGCGGACGATCAACTTCGAGACAGCCGCACGACTTTGAGACAAGGTCTGGCCATTGCCGCCTCTCACTTGCTGTTGGCATGGTTTGTCGTCGAAACTATTACCGGAGCATACATGACGCATTTTCATGCTGTTATGTTTAGTATGCTTGGAACGGCTTTCCTTGGCAGCATCGCGTCGGGCATCTTTTGCGGCTTGCGTTCCCATAAGAAACAGCAAAAGGCGGCACAGGTCTTCATGGACATCTTGTTTGGCATAGGCAATGTCTTATGGGTGACTGGAATTGTGATTGCCATTGGAGAGAAGTGCCAGGAACTAGCGGTGATTGAAGAAAACGGTATCATCCACTTCAACACCAATGGTTCTCGTAACAGATGGGCCTGGAAAATTGGACTTGTCCTATGGACTCTGGAGATTTCTCGCTGGGCCCGAAATCACCTCACAACAAGCAATCGATATGGGATCCCAAAGCCAGTGGACATCATTCTTCCACTTTGGGCGGGTGCTCATGTTGTGGTCGCACTGGCCATGTTTCGCTTTGCGTATGATCCGAGTCGTACCTACAAACCAGCTTGGACTGATGTGCTGGGATAAGATCACGCCACGAAGAGCCAAGGTACCGGCCAAGTGGGATAAAGAAGCCTACTCGTGCCCAGCACAGAGTATATTCACGGCTGAAATGTTCGCCTACTCGCGATAGTCTGATGTTCGTGAAAGGCACATGGTCTGATGTCGAGGTCAGCGTAATGTTCTCCATAGGACGAAGGCACTCTTTAGGACATTGAGGGTTCCGGGGAGACTTCCCTGTTGCTGCTTTCTAAGAGACCGTTACCCGCCATATACACATCCTTAATCAATACTTCTCGAAGGTTGCAGTACTGACTTTGAGTACCGACCGACCCTTCACCGATATCCTCATGAAAGCGGAATGAGACTTCGTGGTTCGTGGTTCGGCAGTCCTGGGTGAGCATGAGCAGATTTGGCTGATTTGTTGCTTACTGAAAGGGGATCTCCAACCTCGGAATCCCCATGGATGCTACTGCACGGGGGAGGCGGGCCCCCTCTGCGGGGTAAAAGCTTCCCGTCTTTGTGGGGATCATCAACAGGGGCCTCCGTCGCGTCGCGCAGTCTTCCAGACGTCTCAACAACCAGCAATCATGTCTGCTTTATAATGAAGTTTCGCAGCAGGCATCCTCTCCAATCCCTACCAAACACCCAAGTAAATTTCTGATGGGGGCCTTTTGTGTTTTCTGGGTGGTTAATCAACAAATTCCACCATTAACTTCAGGGTGCAATTCAGAGTTTCTAATCAACACCTCGACCTCATCCCCCAGCTGGGCTGAAATGGCTAACCACCAGACGCCGTCCCATTCCCCAACCTCCCTCTGTCCAATCACAGCAACCCCGAATATCAGCACGTACCCCGGAAGGTCGCCCACGCTCCATCAGAGCCGAGGCTCGCGGCACGACTTCCAGACATGGCTGAGCGCCGCCCATTCCCCCCAGACCGACGTCAACCGCTGGCCGCCCTACCTCCTCGAATAGTGTGACCTGACCGCTGCTGCTGCCAGCTCGGACTTCCTCTCATCCTTTTGAATCCGCACTCTGACCAGCCAACCTCACCTGTTCTTCCCACATCGGCGACTTCCCATCTCCCCCTGGACGAACCGAAGTTACAATTTGACTGCCATACCACTCCCAGGTTGTACTGTTGACTCTCCCCGGCCAGTCCGAACTAACAAACAGTCAGAGCACGAACCCGAACCGCCCACCATGGCCGCAAAGACGTTCTCTCGCGACGAGGTCGCAAAGAACAACACGGAAGACTCCCTCTGGTGCATCATCGACTCCAAAGTCTACGACCTCACCGACTTCGCCATGGGCCACCCCGGCGGCGAAGCCGTCCTCCGTCAGGTCGCCGGGCAGGACGCCACCACGCAGTTCTACAACCTCCACCGCCAGGAGGTCCTCACAAAGTACGATAAGACCCTCGTCATCGGCACTGTCGAGGGCGAGAAGCCCCAGGTCCTCGTCACCGGCCCCGGCGAGCTGTCCCTCGTGCCGTACGCCGAGCCCACATGGCTCACGCCGCAGTTCAAGTCCCCCTACTTTAACGACTCTCACCGCTCCCTACAAAAGGCTATCCGAAAGTTCACCGACGAGCACATCACCCCCGTGGCCCTCGAGTGCGAGGAAAAGGGCGAGCTCATCCCTCAGGAGCTCATTGATAAGATGTCCAAGGCGGGTGTGCTGCACATGCGCCTTGGACCCGGCAAGCATTTGCACGGCGTGGAGCTCTTGGGCGGCGCCGTCAAGGGTGAAGAGTTTGATTACTTCCACGACATGATTCTCAGTCAGGAGATGGCCAGGACCAATTGCCGCGGTTTCCAGGACGGTATGCTTGCGGGTATGACGATTGGTCTGCCGGTTGTTCTCAACTTTGCAAACTCCGAGTCGCTGCGCAAACGCATCTCAGATGAGGTCTTCAGCGGCCGGAAGAAAATTTGCTTGGCCATTACCGAGGCCTTTGCGGGAAGTGATGTTGCAGGTATAAGAACCACTGCCGAAAAGACACCCGACGGAAAGCACTATGTGAGTTAACAGTTTTTCGTTTTTAACAGCTTCTGCCAATCACATCCACATTCACATCCACATCCACAACCACAACCACAAATACAACCACAACCACGCCACCACCTCAGAAACGTAAAATTAACTAAATTAACTCTGAAATAGATCGTCAATGGCTCCAAAAAATGGATTACTAACGGAAACTTTTCAAATTTTTTTGTCGTCGGCGTTAAGACAGATAAGGGCCTGAGCGTCCTTCTGATAGAGAGAGGCGAAGGGGTTGAGACCAAGGCTATCAAGACATCCTACTCGCCTGCCGCAGGAACAACCTACATCACCTTTGACAATGTCAAGGTCCCAGCAGAGAACCTGCTGGGCCAGGAGAACAAGGGCATCCACGTTATTCTGAGCAACTTCAACCACGAGCGGTGGACCATGGCTTGTAAGTCTTTGTCCCTTTGTGGATGTTGTGTTTTTTCCGAGTTATATATAGAGAGTGGAACGAGCTGACCATGGTACACTTAGGCGCCACAATCCGTCAATGCAGAAACGTTATCGAGGAATCTCTCCTCTGGGCAAACCAGCGCCTCGTCTTCGGCAAGCGCCTCATCGACCAACCCGTCATCCGCCTAAAGTAAGCCTTGAAACATACAAAACCCTCGGTTTCCTCCCTTGGCCTCTTATTCTTACTTACATACCCATAGACTTGCCAAGATGATCGCCCTCGTAGAATCCCACCAATCCTGGCTCGAGACCATCACCTACCAGATGAACTCGATGCCTTACAAGGAGCAGGCAAAACACCTCGGCGGCCCCATCGGCTTGCTCAAGATGAGTGCCACCCGCGCCGCGCACGAGATCGCCGACGAATCGGTCCAGATTTGGGGCGGCCGGGGCCTCACGCGGACGGGCATGGGCCGCGTCATTGAGATGTTTAACCGTACCTACAAGTTTGACGCCATCCTCGGCGGCGCGGAGGAGGTGCTGGGTGATTTGGGCGTCAGGCAGGCCATGAAGTTTATGCCAAAGTCGAGATTATAAAATAAGTCTCCAACATGTCACGCAACTTGGTCTTGCAAGGACGGCCTGCTTGTCGGTGGATTAAGCCACGGCATCGCCGAGGTGATGCCCCGAGACGGAGCCGAGACGGAACCGGGACGGCGGGACGGGACGGTACGGGACGGATTTATTTGTCATTTGTATCTGTCCCGTATGGGAATCTTTCTGGAATTATTTGTAAACCTTCCTCCAGCGAATTGATTTCACGCGTTGAACCCGAGACATTGGATGATCACCTCTTAACTCTAGAATCACTTCCATCAACCAAAAAAAAAAGCCTCCCTCCCATCCCTCCTACGGTCCATCCTTGCCTGAAGCTAGTTCCCCAATATCCAACTTGGCTTTCAACAGAGTTCGGATACACGCCGGAGGACGACTAAGCTCAAAACAGGACAAACCCGTAGGGTTTCATTTCGAACGGGCGTGCTTTGCTCTTTTTCAGAGGGGAGCACAATGGACGAGGCAACCGCACCCGCCCTAGTCCAACGCGCATCGAAACCTTGGAGGCGAGTCTGACAACGGGGAGACTTTCCAGCATTGGGACGACGCGCTTACCTCCAAGTTTCAGGACGTTTGTCTTTAGCGGAGCTTCGGCCGGTTGCCGAAGAGGCCCTGAACTTTAGCGGCCGCAGGCCGGGAGAGCACGAGGCATCTCGCCATTTCCGAAGCCGTAGCCACCGCTACGGCCGGGCAGACTTGGAGGCAGCAGCCGCCTGGGTATCGTTCTCGGAGTGAGAGCG